GTCTGAACCCCAGTCTGTTCTCCAAAGTGATTGAGATTGTGTCTCTTAAGGCTCTTTGGGAGGGTCAGAGAGCAGAGGGTCAACAGGAACACTTCCTCTGGGAGCTTGAGGACACCGTGCCAGGGCCTGCTGCCTGTGCTGCTTTCTCAGTCTCTGTCCCTGGGGAGCAGTGAGCTCGCGCTCTCTCTCTCTCTCTCTCTCTCTCTCTCTCTCTCTCTCTCTTTCTCTTTCTCTCTCTCTCTCTCTCTCTCGACAACATCTTTCTTTATTTGCTTTATAGTGTGTTAGCATGTTAGGCCTGGAAAAGGGGTCTGGTGACCCCCCCCCCCCCCCCCGTTAGTCTACCAGGGAGGGACGAAGAGATGAGTAACACGCTTAGTGTCAGCAGCCCTGGCAGAGCTGGGACCCCGTGTCTGGGCTCCTAGCACAGTCCTTTCCACTGGTCAGCCACCTCTGCATCTGATCCTCGCCTGGCAGTCTCTGTTGGCCTCTGGCCATCTCCATGGTGTCTGTGCCCATTATAGATGTGCCTGCATGCCACCACAGCTGTGAGTGCCCCAGGGCGAAGGGCAGGTTCGTCCCAGGACCTTCTGGGACTAGCCCAGAGCACCGGGAGGAGCTGTTAGTGAACGTGGGGTCAGCGAATGACTGAATGACTTTTTATTTTGCTACTGGTGCCTAGTGGGCACTCCCAAATGTGAGTGCCCGTCCTCCACCCTCACCACTTCATTCATTGGTGCTCACCAACACTTTTTGTTTTAAAAATTTTCGTCCTTTTTTTTTGATGAGGAAGGTTGGCCCTGAGCTAACATCTGTGCCCATCTTTCTCTATTTGGTATGTGGGATGCCACCATGGCACGGCTTGATGAGCAGTGCGTAGGTCTGTGCCTGGGATTGGAACCTGCGAAGCCTGGGCCGCTGAAGCAGAGCGTGTGAACTTACCCACTACACCACTGGGCTGGCCCTCACCAGCACTTTTGACTTTCCCCTCCTCAGAGGAGAGCTCGGCACATGCTGCCGAGCAGGCAAAGGCATTCCAGTCCTATGTTTCTCCTGGTGAGGTCCCGAAAACCCATCAAGGACCAGCAGGGTGAAGTGGGGTGGGGTGAGGGCTCTAATACTTGTAGATGAAATCCTGGTGAGGATAAGATTTTTAACTTGTGTATTAAATGTGTTTGGGGAGGTTCTGATTTTATTTAAGATCATCATGAAAGTGCCTCCTGGTGTAGCTGGGTGCCTGGTTCTCATGCATCCTGGAGGGAGTTTGCAGTAGATTTCAGGGTAGCTGAATTCTGAGTCATGCTGGGATTCTGATGCATTAGAAGTAGGGTTCATGAGACCAATTTTTGAAAACCAGGAGGTGAGAAAAGTTCTGGAAAGATATTTCCATCTGGCAATGTTGTGGTCCCCCCTCAGCCCCAACAAACTACTTCAAGAGTAGACTGTCCTTTGCAAGGGAAAGTGCCTGGTGTTGATTAGGATGTGAGGGGTTCACTTTGTACAGAGCAGCATGTGGGGTTTGAGTACAGCCGTGCACATTAGATAAATAATATTTGTCAAAGGGGGGCGGGCATAGGCTGTGGTTTTGAAATATGTGTCCACATGTGAATCTGTTCAAAAATGACAGAGTGTTTATTGGTAACATCTGTGGATTTCAGAAAAGCGAGTTTTGCCTCACAGTAAGCATGGGATGTTATTTCCATGGGGAGGAGGCCTTCCTTCCAGAGGAGCTGGCTCTAGTCACTCTCCTCCCGATGGTGCCCACTGTCTAGGGGGAGACTCGCGCCGTCAGTTCACTGGGTGTGAGGATGCACCCATTTAGGTAGGTAGAAAGACATAACTAATTCCTTTTTAATGTGTACTTTTTTTAGATGACTTATTTATTTGCCATTTTGAAAGTAGGATATATGAACTAAAAAAGTTAGGAAAATACTGAAAGAGATCATTGTTGCTCATGGTACTGAACCTCTTAATCTCAAGTTCATGTGCCTGATGTGCAATAAGCCAATCACTGAGGCATCAGTGCTTTGAGATCGAGAAAGGTTTTTTTGAATTGGCTGAAGGAGAAGGTGGGAGGATAGGTTCTTTCAAATCCGCCTTCACAGAGAAGAAAGCTGTGGGGGGGGTCTTTATAGAGCTACGGGGCTTGGAAGGAGGAGTTTCGGAGAAACAAAGGGGAAGTCTGTGTTCCTTTCACTTCAGATAAGCCCTTGGGCAATCTGATTTCTGGGGGCTGGTTATCTGGTGACTCGTAACTTCCTTAAAGGCATTCTCTTTCTTCTGCAAAACAAGCTCATGAATCCTTGTGACCTTTGAGTCACCTCTCAGGTTAAACAAGAAAACAGTAAATTAACCAGATAAACTTCTTTTCATCTGTGTCTATTGTTGGAACAAGGTCGAAGGGTAATCATGTTCTTATTGAATATTTACACTAACCCTCAGGTACCTGGCTTCACTCATACTTCCCAAATGCAGGAATTTAAAAAGTTTGGTCAATGTATTTAATATTTTTTCCTCTTACGAGTGTTTTTTTAAGCCTCATTGTGAAGTGCGTGTAATCCTGGCCGGTCACAGAGCTCTGCTCAGGCTGACATAGAAACAGAGGAGTTGGGACTGGACTCTGGTGGGTCCCAGGCCTGCATCTGCAGCAGGGAGGACCTGATGTAGGTCCTTCAGATTGAACTCCCATCCGTGCAGCGCGCCATTCGAGCTGAAGCATGGCAAATTGGCCAAAAAATCACTTACCAGCTTTGTCCTAGTGAAACTTGAGTATGTGGTTATGGTAACTTGGAAGAAAAATTCAGGCAGAATTATTTTTAAGCCTGAAAACAAAGTCTGAATTAAACAGGTCTTAGGAAGTTCTGAGGAAGAGCTGACATCAGTTAGCAGATGTGGTGAGGTTTTGGAGTTATCAGGGCTTGTGGCAGACTCCTGCCTCGGTTATCTGGATTGGATTTAGAGGTGAGCCAGGAGACCTGTTTCTGGGGACCCTTGGGGCAGTGGGATATGGTGGATGGTCCTGTGGCCACCAGCAAGGGTCCTTCTAAACAGATGTGGCTGCCGGCCTCCGCCATTGCATGCACATCTTTATCTAAAACCTCCTCCCTCACTGGGGTCTGTGGGCTGTGGTGGGTGCTTCTCCCCCGGGACCTGACGGTGGCGAGTAGAGTGTGTCTGTGTGTGTTGGAGGTGGGGCCAGGGCGCTGGGGAGTAGTTGAGAGCTGACACCAGCTGCATTTGGGCTCTGATTACGGGATCTCTTCCCAGTCCTAGACATTTGGTCTGTGGGGCTCCCCCTTGTTTCTTGCCATAAAGTGCAGGAGCCCAGAGCAGAGCCGGGGTGTGAGATGACACCAGATCATGGGGCGGACTAGCCCCCCTCCCCATCCCCGTCTCTTTCAAGGGTATGGTCACCTTCCACAAACCTCCCTGGCTTTCATTAGGGGGCAGGCGGTCCATCTGTGCCCGAGCAGTGCCCCATCCCTGCAGGGGTGCCTCAGAGTTGGCGGGCCAAGCGTTTGGGAGGCAGTGTGGTGTGGTGGTGGGCACAGAGCAGGGGAGGGCCGGGATCAGACCTCAGGTCCATATCCGGGAGCTGGATGACCTCAGCTGGTCAGTTATCCTCTCTGGCTTTGGTTTTCTGCTCTGTGAAATGGGGACAATAATATCCATGCCGTTAGGTTGTTTCTAAAGATTGAAAGAAGCTGAATGGCGAGCCCCGCAGCGCAGTGCCTGGTGGCTGCTCTCACGCAGGTGAAGGGGTTCCCCAAGGGCAGGTTATGGCGGGTCATTTCAGCTTTCCAGGCTCTGGTGCGTGAACGGGCTTCTCTGCCTGTCACTACAACTCTCCTTGTACATAAGAGTAGCTGGACCCAATGTGCAGGGGCGGAGCGGATCCCTGCAGAGGTCCCCGGACTGACGGACTGACGGGGCTGCTCCCCCGGGAAGGGCAGGCGGGAGGGAGGCTGAGGGGTCTGACGTCTTCCGAAGTCCCTGGAGTGCTGCCTGAGATCCTTATGCCTCCTTGACTGCTCCTGGGCTGCTTCTCGGGGGTCTCCTGGGGCTCCTTTCCTTTCTGTGGGTTTTCTTCAGCCCCAGGGTGTTAACAGCCCTGAGAGGCCTGAAGAAATCCTTGGGTGATTGACAGCACACGGCCCACCGTGCCTGTGACGCAGGCTGTGTGTCTTGGCTTTCCGTGTCTTTGACCTTGACCTATGTTAAGAAACACGTTTTATGCCATGACCCGGTAGAGAAAGAGAGAAGCGCACACCCACGTACGGGGAGACAAGTTTCACAAGGTGGTCCCCCCACGTGCTCTCTGATGCTTCCTTTTCTATTCTGCGTCCTGTGGTGGTGGTTTTAATACTGCTTAGGATTTTCCAAATGGATGGCACTGTGGTCTGGACGGCGTGGTGAATAGTGGAGCCTGAGGGTGGGGCGGGGGCTCTGGCTGTCCCTCGGTCTGTGGGTGTCTGTGAGAGGCTTCACTGGGCAGAGCAAGAGCGCTGGGCAGGGACAGGCAGCCCCTGAGGGGTTGGGATTGGGGCCCCCGGGCCCTGCAGGGAACCACTCCTTCCCCAACTCACAGTGTTGGTCCAGAGGAAGGAGCACTGGACTGAGAGTCAGTACACCTGGATTGAAGTCCTGGTTCTGCCATTTGCTGGCTGGGAGACTTTGGGCAAATCACTTGACCTCTCTGTGCCTCAGGGTTTTCGTGGGGTGGCTTTGAGGCCCAGACGAGGAAAGGTGTGCCGACTCCCTGGGGCCTTTCATTCTGCTCAGCGCCCCGTGGTGTGGGGAGTCCACCCAGAGCCTGCCTGAAGCCCTGGGCCCCTCTTCTCTCTTTTCTCTCGGTCAACCTGGATCAGAAGGGGAGGTGGGTGGAAAAACCAACAGCCAGCTGCCTTCTGCCCGGAGTTTGTGGTCTTGTTGATCCGTGTGAGTGTGCCCCTGTATGAGGTGCGGACCCCTGCCCTAACTTGGCCTGCTCTCTTCCAGCCCTGAAGGATGGCTGCCATTTTGGGGGATGCCATCATGGTGGTCAAAGGCCTCGCCAAGCTAACGCAGGCGGCCGTGGAGACCTACCTGCAGCACCTGGGCCTTGGTGGGGAGCTCATCCTGGCCGCCAGGGCCCTGCAGTCCACGGCCGAGGAGCAGATCGGCGTGGTCTTCGGCAGTGTGCAGGTAAGGAGGCCTGGCAGTGGGCGGGGTGCCAGCAGGAGGGGCTGCACCTGGAGCTCTTGGGGAGACCAGGGGGCTGAACCAGGACACAGCCGGGGCGGCTGGTCTCCTTGTGGCCAGGGCCAGAGAGCCCAGTGGCTGGTGTAACCCACAGTCCTTCCAGGTGTGGTGGGGGCCCCCTGTGAGGCTGCCACCGTGTGACTCACGTTTCAGTTATGGGAGCTCTACAGAGCTGGGAAGAACCCCCAGGATCACGTAGCCCAGCACACCCGACAGTCAGATCAGTAATTCACCAGCGCTTACCGAGCACCTACAGATGCCAGGCCCGGGGTGCAGAGCTCAGCGGGGAGACCAGACCCGTCCTGCAGGGACCCGCCGGTGACCCCCCTGCCCCCCACTCCCTCTGCCTGGCCTATGTTCAGTTCCTGGGGCTGTCCTGAAGGTACTGGAGAGGGGCCTTTCTAATTTTGGAAATTACAAAAATCGCAAAGAAAAAAGTGACAGTCACCTGTGTTCTTACGGGAGGCAGCTAAGGACACCTGTCATCTGTCACACCTCTTTCACTGAAGCAAACAGTTTCTTTATAAGATGAAGCACCTTCTCCCTGTTTCTCTGACTTATGTTGGCATTTTATTGTCAGGTTGGTTTTGGTAAAGAAGTGACGGAAGCCACCCAGTGTGTAGGCTGGGACGACCGTGTCATTCGCCGTCACCCCCAGTGTCGAGCTGTCACAGGGGTCCGTGTGTTGGCCGACCTCCCTCAGGCTTCAAGGTTCCCCCGCCCCGCCCTGCGCCAGCTGAGCCGCAGCTAGGGCCGGGCCTCGTTTTTCCCCTTCCCTTTGCTGAGGGTCTCTGGGTGCTGACTCAGGGGCTCTGCCCCTTTCCAGTGGGGCAGCTGGCTCAGCCCTGCTGAGGGCAGCTTCACCTCGTGCCTGCCTCCCATCCCTCGTGCCGTCTTTTGTGCCTCGGTCCAGAGACCATCCAAGGGGAAGGTTTTAAGCAAAAGTGAGTGCTGGAGAGGTGACTGTCAGTAGGACTTGCTATGGCAGAGGTCAGTCCACCATGGTGCCACCTGCAGAGTCACCTGCAGCTGCTCCTGCTAGCCTGAGGGGATGGGAAGGGTGCGTGTGTGCGCACGTGTGTGTGCACGTGTGTGTGTATGGGCACGTGTGTGTTGGGAGGTGTGCTGCCGAGGGTGCCCCGCCCCCCTCCTTCCATTTCTGTTGTGGTGGCTGACCTTCTAGATGGAGGACACTTGTGCTCCTCCAGGCTGTGGGGCCATCACAGCCTGCAGGCCTCTCGTCAGTCTCAGTTTTAGGATTCCCAGCCCTAAAAGGTCTCTCTTACCCTACACGAATGCCTTTAACTTCTAGAAGTCTGCACACCCGTGATCTCACGGTTGTTCTGGGAGGGGGGCAGGCCTAGATGCTTACCCCCTTTCTCAGATGGGGAAACTGAGACTAAGCAGTCTGATGCAAGGCCTGTGATCATTGAGACAGGACTAGAGTCCTGTGTCCTTTTCCCAATCTCAGACTCCCTGCCTTTGCCTACCCTCTGCTGAGCTGGGCTGTGGCCCCAGGCTCCTCACAGATGCCTTTTCTAATGAGGAGTCAGCGCCTTCCTGATGGATGTGCTGCCTGTGGAACACTCAGGAAGTGAGTTGCCCAGTTCCCTTGGAGCCACCCAGGAGTAAGATGGCGTGCTAGAGCCGGGCAGGCCTCCCTGAGAGGTGAGGGGGCCTCTGTCCCGCCTCCCGCCCTGCCCTCTGCTGCCCTTGGACAGGCCTGGCCCGGTCTCTGGAAGAGGCAGGGCTGTCCCGCAGCACAGTCACTCTGAGGTAGGAGGGAATGATGGTCCCCCACCACGAACGAGGTGCTGAGCAGGGCAATGGCCTCCACTGTGCTCCCCTTCTCTCCCTGAACGCTTAGATTGTGAGAGGGCAGAGGGCCAGAGCTTCCAGAAACTTCTCTCTTTCTCTCTTCCAACTTCTCGTTCAGCAGACACTTCACTGAGTCTGGTCCCATTGAGGCACTGAGGCCCCTTCGCAGCCACATGACCAGGTCATGGTGATGCTGGGCCAGGTGGCCGTCACCAGAGTTATGGAGCAGAAGGAGGGAACCCTGCTCCAGACTCCCTCACTCGGGAGCTTCCTTGGCTGTCCTGAGAGGGGCCCACTGAATCCAAGTATAGCTCTGAGAAAAGTGCTGTCAGGCAGCCGCGGGGTGGCCCGAGGGACAAGCCGTGGCTTGGGATCCCTGCTCTGCCATTGGCCGGCTCGGGGCCTTGACCAGACTGCTTCAGCCCTCTCAGCCTCAGTTCCCCATTCGTGAGATGGGAGTAATAGCCAGCCTCTTGCCTTCCCGTGGAGGGCGCGTCTTATCTCCGTAGGGCCCCCCGTAGCTCGTAAGGCTGAGTCAGAGGCCTTGGCTCTGCTGCTGTCTTGGTGGGACCTACAGGCAGCACTGTGTGCACTGAACCCGTTTCGGTGGAATCAGGGAGTCCAGGCCCCTGATCCCCGCAGGAGTCGGTGCTGTTCTCCTGGCCTGTCTGTGGCCCCCCATAACTGTGACCGTGGGGAGCCCTGTTTTCACATGAGGAAGGAGCAGAGAGGGGTCAGGGACTCACTCAAGGTCACTCAGGGTTCAAAGGGAGAAAGAACCTGGGCCCAAAGTTCAGGTCTTGGCGACTGTTACAAGGAAAATGTGGTGTGTCCCCCTCCGTCCTGCCCCCGTACCTCCAGCTCCCGGGGACAGCCAGGCTGGCGCTGGTTGTGACGAGCCCTCCAGTGAGAGCCTCTTTAGGAACACCCACAGCTGCCTGGTGGAAGCCACGTGTGCAGCGAGCGCTGGCCCGGAGTGGCAGGGCGGCCCGTCCTGTGCTGCCCTCGCCCTCGCTGCCCTTTGGTCGTGCTTTTCCTTCTCAGAGCTTCCCCATCTTTTCCCTGGTTCACCCTCCCCAGAGCCCTGGAGGCCTCTCCTTAGCCCCAGTTTACAGGTGAAGACCTTGCTGCCGGGTTGGTGGTCACTCGCTTGGTCCTGACTGGGCACCCAGCAGTGCTCAGTGACCGTGTGGGCCTGGCTTGCCCAGGAGCACACAGCAGAGCCCTGGCAGAGGCAGGACTGGAATCCGGGTCTCCTGGCTCCCGGGCTGGGAAGGTGCTATCACCTCCAGAACTGGCGCCGGGCTGCAGGAGTAATGTGGTGTTCCGCTCTGGAAGGTCGGAGGGCGGGACGGCGGTGGTGTGCCGTCCTGTGCAGAAAGGGTGGACACAGGGAGAGCTCCTGGCTGGCCTCTTGCTCCTCTCGCGCTGACTGTTGTTCCCTCCAGGGTCAGGATAAGCATGAAGACCCTTACGCCACGGAGAGCTTCGAGGACCTGGAAGTCGAGTTCTCTGCAGCCTCCTCCCCCGACCAGTCGTCGCCTCCGCCCTGGGATCAGGGCAGCAGTGAGGGCCCGGCTCCTGCCTACGCCGCCAGTGGGCCCTTCAGAGAAGGCAGCCTCCCGGGCCAGGCCGCCGCCGCTCTGGGCAGGGTCAACGGGAGGCTCTTTGCAGACCCGAGAGACCCGTTCTTTGCCACGGGCCTTCAGCGAAGGTTCCTGCACCAGGACCAGTCCCCCATGGGCGGCCTCACGGCTGAGGACATTGAGAAGGCCCGACAGGCCAAGGCTCGCCCCGAGAACAAGCCCCACAAGCAGATGGTGCGTGCGGGAGGGCCCCCTGGAGTGGGGTGGAGTGGTTCCCACACTGGGGCTGGTGTCAGGCCCCTTCCGGGGACATTCCCTGAATGCTGTTTCAGGCACGTGGAGGCCTCTTCTTGGTGGAGTGTGCTGCCAGCGGAGGTGCTGTCATGGGGAGTGGAGAGGGGGTGTGGGGGCAGCATGGACCCCTGAAGGTTGGTCCTGTCCCCACTCACTGATTCCCTGACGTCTCTTCCTTTTCTCCGTCTAGCTCAGTGAGCGGGCTCGGGAGCGGAAGGTACCAGTTACGCGGATTGGGCGGCTGGCCAACTTTGGAGGTAAGGTGGCGGTGTGCCCCTGTGCCTCCTCACCAGCCGTGGCGTGCCGGTCCCGGCAGAGTGGAGCCGGGGCCACCGTGGGGCCTGCATGGAAGTGGAAGGGGGTGGGGACCCAGGGGTATCCCAGAGAGGGTGGTAGCTCCTGTGTTAGCTGTTTCTGGAAGTTCTCCATAAGTGGATGATCCGGTTTCTGGATTTCAGTCTGCCTCAGCTCACCCCTGGGGTTGGTGTGTGGCTGATGTCATGCCATGAGAACTTTACTCCTTAGGCCCCACTTAAGGGGCAATGTCTGCAACATCAGCTTTTTCCTCCTGCCCCAGCCTCCCTGCTGCTCAGCCCCGTTGGAGGCCTCTGCGGGGAGGAGGCCAGGTAGTGAGTAGAAGTTCCTCCCTGGGGCTGTTAAGCTCCTAGACAGAGTGGTTTTTGCCCCTGGGACCAGCCATTTGGGGAGCCCATTTGCTGGATTCCCGCGGGCCTGCGGGGCATCAATGGAATGGTACCGAGGTGCTGTGGCCCTGAGCAGCTGTGGCTTCAAGTCCATTTTAATATACTGTCAAGTTGTGAGCTTTATTCATTCTTTTCTCTGGAGGTTTGAATAGCTGTTGTGTGCAATACACTTGTGATCTTATTGTTTGAGTCAAAGGACCATTTTATAGTGAAGGTTTGGAGCAGTTGTATCTGCTTTTATGACGTTGTGTTGTCATATCTAGTGCTTATGTACTGACCAAGATGTTCCTATTGAAAGTACCATCTCCTTGGCAATGGTACGCTTTAAGATGGAGTGACTGGGAGTGCATTTCTTTAAAGCTCGCCTGTCCTCAGTTGGTTCTCCAGACAATACAGTTAAGGAAAGTAACAGTTTTGGCAACTTGGTTGACATACCAGCCTTGGGCGAGTGGTTATTTGCAAGGCTGTTTATTAGAGAGGTCTGATTGCTTCCAGTGCTAAGTAGTCATGAAGGCCCCTTATATGTGTCTGAGCCATTACTTTCTTGCCTTTTCTTTGCTGGTTTACACATCTCCCCTCCCATATACTGTCTATCGTGCGTGCTCTTCTCTGCTGCCTCTTCTCTTTTGTAAACCCCATCTTACTCTTCGTTCAAGATTGGCTCTGTGCTCCCCGATAACCTGGTACTCTGGGAGCTAGACCAATGTCTGGGTTCTAACTTTGAATGATGGCTGGCTGTCTTCCTACTGTGCAGAGCAAACTAGATTAATGGGATGGGATTTTGTCAACTCGAAGATTTTCTTCCCTAATTGTTATCTTAAAATTTGGTGTCTGCTGCTACTTAGCTGTTGAAGAACCTAGCATAAAGTGTCACCTGAGTTTTAGCACAAAATGACTGCTTTATTTCACTCTAATGGGTTAGCATTTCAAGCAGGTCCTCATAGAACATCGTAACTTCCTGGGGTGCCACAACAGAATGCGTTTGAGAATTGCTGCTCTGGTGACCTCCAACGGTCCTTACTCCCCAGAAGACTTGGCACATTGCCTACTTGCGCAGCGGCTATGAGTTGGGTAACACTTATTGTTATTCAAGTATTGAATGGAAGTTCTCTTTTCTCCCCCGTGAGTTTGAGGGTAGGAAGTACCCTCTTCTTACTCTGTCGTTTTTCTCCGTAATCCTCCTCCTCCCCTCACTCCGGATGGACAAGGGCTCACCACAGAGCCCTCTCCCCGGAAGGCTTAGCTTGACTGACATTTTGTAGAATGGGTATAATCCTCTCGGGGGAGTCTTTGTGGGGGTGGCGGTAGTGGAGCATCTGTTTGGGTAAAGTGGTCAGGATGAAGGTTGTGATGGAGAGTTGGAATTTGCTGGAACACCGTGAGGTCCTGGTGAACCAGGCCAATGGCAGGCCCTCGGGTGGTGGTTAAGGAAGACAGAGTGGAGTGAAGGGGTTATACTGGAAGGTGTGTAGGGCAGAGAGGCTCCCCTGAGAGGGTGGGGGATATGGCAGCCACGGGAGCTGGATTGGGGCGAGGAGAAGCCCCAGTATCTGGAGGTGCTTTGCGCCCTCAGAGCCCCCTGAGCCCTTGCTGGCAGCAGCCCGATGCCTGGAGCCATCCCCAGGCGTCTGCGTGCCTGAGATTTCCCCGCAGCTGTGATTCGGAGCTGCCCACGTTGTTGCCCAAGCATCTGGCAGCTAATGTTTCAGGCTTGGAGGTGGCAGGATGGGAGCAAAGAGGAGCCGGGTCTGGAAAGAACGTGCTGTTCTGGCCCCGGAAGGGAGCTGTGGGCCTTCTACCTCCCCCAGAAGTTTCTAGACTGTGAGTTATGGCCCATTAGTGAGTGTGAAAGCAATTCACTGGGTCAGGACCAGCATTTCAAAAACAAATTAAATAGAATAGAATCAAATAGAAAAAGATCAGACTTAGTATCAGAGATCCTTTGAACAGCACACGTTGCAAAAATATTTTTGTTTCAGAGATATAAACATATCACTTATGTATATTCTTCATTTTGCCTGCTGAAGTATACGGCTTACTGGTGGGTCGTTGTCTAAACAGTTGGAAGAAACACTGCTCTGCTTGGTTCTCCTAGAAAACACTTCTAGCCTTTCTTCCCTCACAGGGGTGAGATATTTTGGAGGTGTAGACTGACTTCAGGAAGTTTTTGCACTGGGGTATGAAGGAAAGGGGTTGCTCTGGGTCTCAGGGAGGTGCGTTTTGTAGGGGGCCCTCAGCAGCAGGTGTTCAGCTGTGTGGAGGGAGGAGGCGGGAGCTTTCCGGTTTGGGTGGCTTGTGTTGATGCTGAGATGGGGCAGGAGTCCTAAGTCCAGTTTGGCTGTGGGATGTTATGGCTGTGATGCTATGGGCAGGGTGATCTGTGGATATTAGATTTTATTAAAGAGGAGTGATTTCCTAAAGATTCTGGTACACTTGAGGGTACTGTTAATAGATCAGCAACACCGTTCTCTCTGGGATCATTATGCCCCTTCCCTTCAAGCTTTTGTAATCGCCGTCTCCGTGGTAAAATTAAAAACAAAGAAATATTGGTGAATGGGTCTAGTTTGGTTATTTTTTAATTTTGCCAAGAACATTGAAAACAAAACTAAACTAAAACTACCATTAACTATTACCATCATTTTATTTATCTTTTTTTTTTTTTTTTTTTGGTGAGGAAGATTAGCCCTGAGCTAACGTCTGTTGCCAATCCTCCTCTTTTTGTTGAGGAAGATCAGCCCTGAGCTAACATCCGTGCCCATCTTCCTCCACTTTATATGTGGGATGCCTGCCACAGCATGGCTTGACAAGCGGTGCGTAAGTCCGTACCTGGGATCCGAACCTGCGAACCCCAGGCCGCCAAAGCAGAGTGCACGAACTTAATCACTACGCCACTGGGCCGGCCCCCTATTTATCTTTTTTAAAGGACATTTTAACAATGCAGAAGTACCAAGGGTGTGCTCCCAAGATAAAGGATAGTAAATTGAATAACTGAGTTTTGTGGCAGACTCCTTCTGTGGTCTTTGTTTCTGGACACTGATGGAGACCCTGCTGTGGCTTGTCAGGGGCCTTGCAGGGCCATCCTGCAGTGGCGATGCCGTGGGACCCCATGGCTGGGGTGGGCCGGGGGCTCAGGATGGTAGGGGTGGGAGTGCTTACATGTCCTGTAAGCACTGACATGTCCAGAGCACACGGCAGCACTGTGTGCTCTGACCTCCTGGCTTGGTGGCCTTTGTTGGCTTCTCGAAAGTCAGGCTTCCCCCCAAACATTTATCAATAGGGCACTTGATTTTCTTCGAGATTGTGGAGATCTGAGCTCCCAGGTTGTGTGTGAGGCCGACTTTGCTCAGGCCTTCCCTCCTGGGGTGGCACACAGCGACACCAGCTTCTCTGCCTGACTTACTGAGGGCACACAGCGCGCTCCCCTGGCAGCCAGCGCTCCTCCGGTGCTCCCTGAGGCAGAAAACAGATGCCTGTGGGTCCAAGAGAAGTTCCGCGCCCTTCGCAGGGGTAGGGGAGCATGGTTTCTGCTTTTCCAGGAGCGTACAGTCGTCCCTCAGTATCTGCGGGGATTGATTCCAGGACCCTCCACAGATCCCCAAATCCGGGCTTGCTCAAGTCCCATAGTCGGCCCTCCGGATCTGTGGGTTCTGCATCCACAGATCCGGAGGGCCGACTGCACTTTAAAGGGGCTTTTATGTCTATTTTGCCCCCTTAGAAGCTCTGTGGGGAAGATTAGGGTAGTTATTATTATCTCCAGTTACAGGTAAGGAGGCTGAGCCACAGTCACCAGTCGCCCAGGGCCGTACGCGTATGTGACAGCCTTGGACCAGAGCTGAGGAGGCCTGCGTCCTGCACGTGGCAGTCTGAGCCTGCCGGCCCCTGTAATTAGTGCCCCCTCCCCTGCAGCCGGCAGAGGGGCAGTGTTAGGCTTCCCTCCCAACTGGCCCAGGTCTGGGCTTGGAGGGCCAGCTCCTGAGAACCCAGGAGAACACTCTGTGAGGAACTTCCTCCACCACGCCTTCCTGTTCCCCTTCCTCCTGTGCTGTGGGCTGCAGGCCCTCTCTCCCCAGGTCCCCTCTTCCACCCCGGGGGCTGGGGCTGGGGGCAGGGTGGAGGACACAAGTGATGGTAGTAGAGAAGGTGGACTGAATTGCTGAGGATTCAAGAACACCTTGCAGCAGAGGAAGACATCCTCGCCCACCGCTTCTGTGCGGACTTGCTCGTCTCACCAGGTCAGAAGGCTTGTTGGCTGTGTTAATAGGAGCGAGGGCTCGGGACCCTGCTGGCTGTGGGCGTGGTGATGTTGTGGTTTATCCTTCGAGATCCCTCTGCCCCTTGCTACCACAGAGGTGCTCCCGTGGGCCTTGCTCTGTGAACACGCCTGGGGTTTCTGGCGGGTTAACTCGAGCAGCAAGGAACGCGTACTTACTTCTTTCTGTTGGGCACCTTTTAGCTAGCTTCCTTGTGAAGGGCGCTGCTTGTTGGAAGGTGTTGTGTTTTTCCCCTTTCTCAATCTCTGGTGCCTGTCTGGGCAGAAGCCCGGTGCCTGCTCAGGGGAGGGCCTCACTGGCTCCCATGACCTCCGGAGGGACTTCAGGCGGCAGAGAGCTGGCTGGGGGCGAGCAGGCCCACAGCCTGGGAAGCCGGCCCAGTGGCTCCTACCTCCGACGAAAGCCCTGCTCCCTGCTGCTACTCCTACGTTTCTTCACTCCAAACCTCTGTGCGAGAATCGTCAGGAACTTTCTTGGAAGGGGCTGGCCACTTCTCACAGGCTAGGGTGGAGGCCAGGCTGCTCACGGTGGCTGTGGGGCCGCAGAGCTGGTTCTGGGGCAGGTTTTCCTCCAGGACTTCCTAGCAGGCTGTATGGGCCTGGTCGGGCCTGACCGGGGATCAGGATATGGAGATGGGTGCTGTCCTGAGGGCTCCGAGGGCTGCAGTGGGGCTGAGGCCACGGGTGACATGGAGGGTGAGCGGCACGGGCTCCAGGGTGTCCTCACCAGGATGAGGGGCACCCGAGGCAGAGGCCCTGATCTTCCGGGATTTGCCTCCAGCTCCCCACCGGTTCTGGGAGGAGGCAGAGCCTGGCTGGGCCCTGGCCTTCCCTCTCAGCAGGGTTCTGAGCACTGTCTTCACCAGCCCTGGTGGGGGACGCTGGAGAGCCAGTTTATTCTTGGTTCACCGGAGTCGGAGCTCCTGAGGCCAAGGTCGGGGCTGCTGGGCTGGCCGGGCCGCAGTGGGGAGCTTGTCAGCTGGCAGCACCTCGGGCCTGGCACTGGGCTGGCCCTGAGGGAGCTCGTGGGGCCGCAGAAGGAGCCTGAGGCCTCCTTGGTGGAATGTTCTCTTGGTGCTGTGTGTAAGGACAGGTCCTTGCCCCGAGACAGCTTTGGCTGTGCCCTGCAGCCTAGAGATGGCCAGGGGACAGTTTGACAGAGCACGGGGGGGGGCGGGGGGGCAGGTCAGCAGGGGGAGCTGGGGGGCCGCCTCTATGTGCAGAAGGAGGGGCTTGGCAGGCCACCCCCAAGCTGGGGCGTCTGCTTCAGTGGCCAGGCTGGGTGGCTGCCTCTTCTATGGGTTTGTCTTTGAACTTGATCTAGGCAGAGAAAAATAGAGCTACAGAGACATTGGTGAAGGTCAGCACGGTTGGGGGGGTTCATGTTGCCTGTTATCACATATTTGGCCGAGGCAGATCGTGTGCTGGGTGGGGTGGAGCTGGGTGGGCAGAGGGCAGTTAATGTTTAGTCGGAGATCTGGCTCCCAGCTCTGCGCCTGGTGCCCTCCGGGGCTGGGGAGGGGTCAGAGGGAAAACAGGCCTGGCACCTTGTCCCAAGACACAGGTGCGAGGGGGGCCCTGGGCTTCCACCTGAGGGCCATCTCCAGGTGCCTGCCCTGTGCCGTCCTGCACGGCAGCCCCAGCCCCGTGGGGTGCTGAGCGCCTGAACCGTGGCTGGTCCACACCGAGGTGTGCCCTGAGGACAAAACACACACTTTGAAGCCTTAGTACAAAACAAAATAATGTAAACTCACTCTAATAATTTTTATATTGGGTACTTGTTGAAATGATAATATTTTGCATATATTAGGTTAAATAAAATATCAGAATTCATTTCACATGCTTCTTTCTGCCTTTTTAAATGTGGCTACTAGAAAATGTGAAATTATCTACGTGCCTGGTGCTGTATTTCTTTTAGCTGGCACGGGCCTAACCATTGTGGAGAGGAGTCTTGATGGTAACAGCGAACACTCCGGTGCTGTCTCCTTGTACCTGGCCCGTCTGAGCTCTTGGCTCTGACTCAGCTGTTTAATCCTCACGTCGACCCGTGAGGCAGGAGTGGCCCTTACAGCTGGGGATGCAGAGCCCGATGGCGGGTAAAATGTAGTGTAAAAACATATTTTAAAATCGGGTTTTCTTCCGGGCCGGCCCTGCGTTGTAGCGGTTGAGTTCACACGCTCCTCTTTGGTGGTCCGGGGCTTGCTGATTCGGATCCTGGGCGTGGACCTACTCACCGCTCATCAAGCCGTGCTGGGACGGCGTCGCGTGTAGAAGAGCTACAACTCTACAACTATGATACACAACTACGTACTGGGGCTTTGGGGAGGAAAAGAAAAAAGAGGAAGATGGGCAACAGAAGTTAGCGCAGGGCCAATCTTCCTCAAAAAAAAAAAAATTGGAGTATTTTCTTTTGATTTTTAAAATTTATTTTTCATTAAATACATTTTTTAAGAAAGTCAATAATATTTTTCATAAAAGTAATACAGAATCATTGGAGAAAATTCAGAACACAGATGCATGGGCAGGCTCCCTTGCCCGTTAAGCAGAGCACCCAGTGTGAGCCCACCCTCTGGGCGTGGGGGCTGCTGCCCCATCCGCCCCCCGGCCCCCCAGGGCTGTGCTCTCCAAGGCCCGCTGGTCTGAGGGCCTCTTTGGTGTCTTCCCTGGGTCTTGGCTGTCCCTTCTGCTGTGGCCAGCGTGCTCCTCCACGTGTTCTCCATGAGAGAGAGAGAGAGAGAGAGAGAGAGAGAGAGAGAGAGAGAGTGTGTGTGTCCTGAGTGGCCCATGCGGGGCTCCTTGGGCCTCTCCTGGACAGACCTCTGGACAAATGGAGTGTTAATGAACTTGGATTTCGAATATTGCAAAAGGGGGAAGGAGGGCCTGGTACCCCCTTGTCCTGAGACCACTGTCAGCGCCTGCGGGGCCCGGGTGGGCGGGGTGGGGGCCTTCCACGCCCCCGAGTGAGGGCCGCAGCTGATCCCCTGTGAGTCCCCACGGCTTGGCTTGGGGACACCAGACCGTTTGCTTTTGCAAAGTGTTCCGACTCCCACCGACGACGGCTCTCTGTTTCTGCGGTGAGCCTTTCCTTCCAGTCGCGGGGACTACTAAATTAGAGAATTCTGGAGCGTTGGAGGCCCTTCACACAGGCTGAAGCGGGCGGCTGTGGGCCGCGGGGTGCACTGTGCTGTCAGGATGTCCTCGGCTCATGGGCCGTCCTGGTCCGTGTTCCACATGCGCTGTCTTGGGGTGTATTGGTGTATCCAGGAGCCTATAGATCAGCAGAGGTGATGGGAGGCGGGCCGTGGATGAAGCTTTTTCACGGAAAGCGCCTACCTTGGGCCAAATCCCTGAAAACAACAGATGCGTCTCTTCTGCCTTTTTTCCTCCCTTCTCAAAATGTTCGGAGTGTCAGCGAGGGTCCCTGGGGAGCTGAGGTGGGTGTCCGTGTGGGGCTGCTCCAGGCCTTGTGGGTGGTGGGGCGGTGGGCAGCCCCACATGAGTGCCCAGTGCCCTCGCCATCCCCTTGCAGGTCTGGCCGTGGGTCTGGGCTTTGGGGCGCTGGCCGAGGTCGCCAAGAAGAGCCTGCGTTCCGAGGACCCCTCAGGTGAGCTGGGCGCTTGACCCGGAGGACGGGGGGCCCTGGGAGGTGGGCCTGTCAGCCCCCAGCCCCTGCCGCAGTGTTGGCCTCCAGGGGCTGCCTCACGTCCTGCCTCCAGGGCCACCTTTCACCCCGTGTTCTGTGTGAATGGCGCCCCTAGAGCTGTCTGAGGCCTGAGGGCCGCTCCGCCCCCGTCCTGGCTCTGCTCCCTGCCCCCCCCCCCCCCCCCCCCCCCCCCCCCCCCCCCCCCCCCCCCCCCCGCTCACCGACCCTTCTTGGCCCCTCCAGGGGCCGGCACACCTGCCCTCTTCCAACTGAAGCCTTGCCTTTGGCTCCTGCTCTAGGTGCCCCCTGCCCCTGGCCCCTTCAGAGGACTCGTTCTAGTACCTGACACCTCCTCCCCCTTCCGTGGGGACCCCCAGTGACACCCCGCTGTCCTGCTGCACTGCAGCCCTCAAACCACCTGGACACCCCTCTTCACTCGTAGGACCCTCTTGTGGGGATAAGGGGCCTCCTGGAGAGAGGGCCCCAGGCCACCCCACAGGCCCCTGAGTACGGGGGACACAGGCGCCGTGTGTGTCCTTGGAAGGGGCCGGAGGACGGGGAGGCTTTAGCGAGGGTATTTTTAGTGTTGGTGCTGAGACACTTGGGGAAATGAAGCCCGGCTTCTCCAGCACCCCCCAAACCCCCCCAAAGCTGGCCGCTCTCCAGCCTACCTCGTCCAGCAGGGAAGAGGCCAGGCTGGCTCCAAGGTTAACCTGGTGTCCTTTGTCAGGGAAGTGGCGACCCCGCTGGGGGGCGAGGGGCCTGAGTACCATTAGCCCAAGAGCAGGACTGGCGCTCAGGCCAGGGCGGGAGGCCCTGGGCAGCCCCCAGCTGTGCTCCAGCTTCCTGAGCAGGCTCTGGAAGCCTTGGCCTGGACGCTGACGAGCCTGGCCCAGCTCTGCCCGAGAGCCTCTCCTGAGTGGGGGCGTGCCCACTGTGCCCCTGAGCCCCCCAGGCTCCCCCAGATTGTTCTCAAACCAGCCTTGCCCAGGCGCGTACCCCAGCCTGTGGGGATTGGCTGGCTGTGGGGAGAGGGCCGGGCACTGTCCCCAGATCTCAGGAGCACCGTCAGCCCAGGCCTGCTCTGCATGTCGCCAGCAGAGGAATCTCCCTCCTCCTGCTGGGCGGTGGCCATCTCTCCCAGCTTCTCTCCTCTCCCCGCCTCTCCTTAGGGACACAGGCCCAGGTCCCCAGCCCACAGGGGCCCAGGGGCTGGGAGGGCAGAGTGGACATAGAGGGGCTGCCCCTCTTGGCTCTGGCCCTCTGCTGCTGCCTCAGGCGAGCCGGTGGTGGGGGACCCTTCTGGGTCCAGCCGTCCTGGAGTGGCCACAGCTTCCCTGACCCCTGGGCAGGTGGCCTCTTCCTGTGGAGCTAAAATCTCTCACGTCCCAGGATCCGGTCCCACCGTCTGGGACCTTGGGGACGAGCCCAACGTGGCTGCCCTCAGATGGCAGGTCCGCATGTTCTCCCTGGGGCTTCTCTTCTGCAAACTCAGTGTCCCGGGGCCTCCAGGTCTCACATCCTCCTGCTGCCCGCCCGCCCTCTCTGTCAGGGGCCAGGCTGGACAGGGCCCCGGGGCAGAGGGCAGTGGCCCCCCGGCCACCTTTCCTGTTCCCTCCCTGGGGACCCGGCTCAGTCCCCCCTCCGAGTGCTAGACCAGGCTGAGGAAAGTGCCAGGCACCGCGGGGCAGGCCTTGGGGGCTTCTGATCTGACTCTGCTCACAGCACAGTGGCAGGAAGAGCACGGATGTCACAGGCGGGGGGCCCAGTGAAGGGGGTGCTGGAGGGGCTCAGGGAGGGCAGCGGGGGCGCCTCCGCGGGCTGGCAGCCAGGCCCCGGCTCAGGCCTCTCCTCGCCTCGGCACCAGGGCAGCCTCAGTGTTGAGGCTGGGCTATGCTGAGGCCGGGACGGGGACTGAAGCAGAGAGGGGGCCTGACTCCCTGCAGTCCCCTTGAGTCGTCACCTTGCACCCTGCCACCCCCGACTGTTCTGGACAAAGGTCGTGTGTACCCCTGAGGGGCCAGCTGGCTGCAGGCAGCTGCAGGGGCCTCTGTGGGCTGAGGGGAGGGGCGGGCACCAGCCGGCCAGAGCTGTCCTTAACACTGAGCTCCCCTCCCTTGAGGACTGTGCTGTCACTGCAGCCAGCTGGCCCCGCGGTGAATGTGCAGTGACCCTGGGGGTGCTGGCGACCTTTGTCCAGTACACTGCGGGGGCGAGTGACAGTGACCTGGCCGTCCTCACCTGGGGTCGGGCCTTCCACAGCATCGGGGACGTGGGTGTGAGACGTGGAGTTGGAGTTGCATCGCGGGCATCATGACATCCAGGAGGACCGGCAGTGCCGAGCCCCCTGCCTTGGGTGCTGTGCTGGGTTTTTCACATCGCACTTAAAAATGCCCCCACGCCCTGGCGCTCTGTGATCGTCCCTGTTCTTGCTGAGGGGGACAAGCGATTTGTGCGAGGCTCACAGCCAGCGGGCAGGGGCTGGGTCTGTGCTCGGGCTCCCTGACCCCCGGCCAGAGGGTGGGGGTGGGGGGCGGCGTCCCCTGGGTGCCCCGCTTCCCCGGGCTGCTGGAGAGCCGGCCCGGCGCTTCCTCTGGCGTCCGCCCGGTGGCGCTGGGGACGCCTGCAGCGCCCGAGGGCAGGGCGGGCGTGGTGAGCTGGCTCCTGCCCGCAGGGAAGAGGGCCGTGCTGGACTCCAGCCCCTTCCTGTCGGAGGCCAACGCGGAGCGCATCGTGAACACGCTGTGCAAGGTGCGCGGTGCCGCGCTCAAGCTGGGCCAGATGCTGAGCATCCAGGGTGAGTGGCGCCGGGCTCGGGGCGGGCGCGCGGCGGGGCGGGGGGGCACGGCGCTGGGCCCCACTTGGGAGGCGTGTTTTCTGTCTTCCGGCTCCTCTCGCTTGAATCCTGGCCGTCGACCCGCCTGGGATGTTGAAATGCAGCATCTTCAACAGGAGCCCAGCTCGTTTTTCCTGCTGCTTCCTGGTGTTTTGAGATAGCCAGAGGTTGTCCGGGCATCTCAAAAGGTGGTGCGAGTCCGGCTGCTGCCATCCCCCCGTGGCGGTCGGAGGGCGCTGGTGGGGGAGCTCGCAGGCCTGCCGCGTTGTCCCTGCGCTGGGACATGGGGCGTGTGGCCCAAGCGGGGACGGCCGGGGAGGCCGGCTCAGTGTGGCCCCAAGAGCAGAGCGGGCGTTGGGGGAGCCCGAGGGCTTCCGACGGTGCCTCCCCGCCCGCCGGGGAGGAGCGCCCGGGAGGCCGCGCTTCTGAGTGGGCGCATCTGAAGGCAAGGTGCCGTCGCCGGCAGTCGGATGGAGTGAACGCTCGGGGCAGGCCGGGCCGGGCGCTGCCCACGGGTGTGCAGGCTGAGCCGTGCACAGCGGAAGGCCTTCTGTGCACAAACCCGACCCCAGCACTCCCCGGATGTGACCTGTCCGAGGACAGCCTCAGGGAGGCGCGCAGGGCTCCGTGCGGGGGCAGCTGCGTCGCAGGGTTCCTCATGATCGCAAACAGACGGGCACTGAGGGAGCCGCGGGCGGGCTAGTGACCCCATGGCGGAGCTTCCGCGGCTGTCCCGCTCGCGCTCACCGTGCCAGTTCAGGATGGTTCAGGAAGCGACTCAGCCACGTGGGGAGGTGCCCGTGAGGACGGCAGGCTGAGACAGTCTCCGGGCAGTGTGACCACAGTTATGAAAAAACGCGTAGGAAAAGGGTCAGAAAGAAAGAAGGATAATGGTTCTTTGTAGGTGGTCAGATTATGGGCATTTTAAACATTTTGTGATACTTTATTTCCCAAATTTGTTTTATAATCATAAAAAGCTCTGTTATTTCTTAAGAAACCTATCTTCTCAGTCACTGGGTGAGTGCGGAGAGCCCCCCCACTGCCTAATGCTGGGGCCCCCCTGGGCGGCCCAGGTTCACCCAGTGCCCTGGCGAGAGAGGGGCTTCTGGGCCCGGTGCGGGGGTGTCTCCAGATTTGGTTGGTGGCAGTGGCGCCCCAGGAGCATGCACAGGTCAGTGTCCCCGTGCCCTCTCTCGAGCCTTGGTCCACAGCGTCAGGGGCCTGTGTGCCAGGTGGGGAAAATGCTCCCAGGGTGCGACGAGGAATCTGAGGCTGGGCCTGCTGTGTAGCGTTGGGTCTCTGCCCTGTTGTCTCTGAACCTCCGGTTCCAGTGTGTGGAGCATCTCGACCTCTCCCAGGAGGCCGTGCGGCCAGGGTGCTAGACATGGCTCTGTGTTGCTGCCTGTGCTCCTTCCTTCTAAGGGGTTAGCCCTCTGCTTGCTGATTTTTCTGGTGCCTTCCAGATGACGCTTTCATCAACCCCCATCTGGCCAAGATCTTCGAGCGGGTGAGGCAGAGCGCTGACTTCATGCCGCTGAAGCAGATGACGGTGAGGCAGGCTGTGCGGGGTGACTGGTCCTCCGGGCCCCCCTCTCCTCGCAGGGGAGCGCGGCAGCCCCGTGGGAGGGCGGACTGTGGAGGTGTCTCAGGGTGTCCCGGGAGGCCAGGCTGTGCTCACGGCCCCTCCCTGGCTTCTTCCAGAAAACTCTCAACAATGATCTGGGCCCCAACTGGCGGGACAAGCTGGAGTACTTCGAGGAGCGGCCCTTCGCGGCCGCCTCCATCGGGCAGGTGCACCTGGCCCGCATGAAGGGCGGCCGCGAGGTGGCCATGAAGATCCAGGTAGGCGCCCGTCGTGTGCGCTCGTCCCCAGAGCCAGGGCCCTGCAGTGACGGGGCCTCTGCACCCCACATCCCCCTCTGTGCCCCCTCGTCCAGGGCAGGGCTCGTGTCTCATTTCTGTCCCCAGTGCCTGGTCAGCTCTGGGTGCTGAGACGTGTTTGCTAAGTGAGTCACTGTGAGGTGGAACAGCCTCCCAGCAAGCTTGGTTTGGGTGGGGCGGGGACAGGGGACAAGGGATTGTCTGCTCTGGGCCCTGGGCTGGAGGGATGGGGCCCTGAGTGGGCAGATGTTCCTGGGGATGGGGGGTGGGAGGGAGGGAGGGGTAGACGGTGGAGCATGAGGTTGTGGTGGGGCCCAGGGGGCCCGGCTGCATCGTTGGGTCTTAGCTCTGACTCCCACAAGGTGTGGGGTCCGGGTGGGACACAGCTGGGAAGCTGACGGGCAGCGGGGAGAGGGGGGCCCCCTGTGAGGTCCCTGCCCTGTCTGCCCGGGAAACCCCGTCTGCTCCCCTGCAGTACCCTGGCGTGGCCCAGAGCATCAACAGTGATGTCAATAACCTCATGGCCGTGCTGAACATGAGCAACATGCTTCCGGAAGGTCCGAGGCTGGCCAAGGGCGGGCGTTTGGGACGGGCTCTGGGGACCCAAGGGGGCCTCCCTGGGAGCCCCAGCCCCCCTGAAGCCCTTCTCCCGACCCAGGCCTGTTCCCCGAGCACCTGATTGACGTGCTGAGGCGGGAGCTGGCCCTGGAGTGCGACTACCAGCGCGAGGCCGCCTGCGCCCGGAGGTTCAGGTGCGGCCCTGGGCCCTCGCCTGGTGGTCCCACTGGGGAGGCAGAAGGGCCTGCTTTAGGCAGTCCGTCGGGGGTGAAGGCTCCTCTGGCCTTGAGCAGGGGGATGGCTGTGGTCAAGGCCTGGGGTCCTAGCCACGTCCTGCCCAGCGAGAAGCAGGCCCTCTGCCTGTCCCCTGTGGGCCCGTGTGTCGTCCCCGGGGTGGGGGTGGGGTGGGGAGGGCCTGTGGCCAGCGTGTGACCCCCCGCCCTGCCAGGGAGCTGCTGAAGGACCACCCCTTCTTCTACGTGCCCGAGATCGTGGACGAGCTCTGCAGCCCCCACGTGCTGACCACAGAGCTGGTGTCCGGCTTTCCCCTGGACCAGGCGGAGGGGCTGAGCCAGGAGGTCCGGAACGAGGTGTGTCTGGCGGTGGCCTTGGAGCCCGAGGTGCTCCCTGTGGCGCGGAAGCTGGCCGCGGGGCCGGAGGGCCGAAGGGGGCAGGAGGGCTGCTGCCTTCCCGCCGGGGGGACACTGGAATCCAGAGTCATCTGTGGGCAGGAGGCGGGGCGGGCGCAAGACGGCGGCGAGAACGGGGTCAGGCTTCCCTGGCCCCAGACTGGGGGGTCACCAGGCTGCTTGGCGCTGCCGTGACTGTGACCCCCCCCGCCCCCAGATCTGCTACAACATCCTGGTCCTGTGCCTGAGGGAGCTGTTCGAGTTCCACTTCATGCAGACGGACCCCAACTGGTCCAACTTCTTCTACGACCCTCAGCAGCACAAGGTGGGCCCCTGGGCGGGGCCGCCCACAGGGGCCTGAGGGCTTCGCTGGAGCGGGCCCGGAGGTCTGGGGCGTCCACCCCCCTGCCCCACCGGGCCAACCTCCCCCTGCTGTCGCCCCTTCCCAGGTGGCTCTTCTGGACTTTGGGGCAACTCGGGAATACGACAGGTCCTTCACTGACCTCTACATTCAGGTAGGGGCCGTGCTTCCTGAGGCTGGGCTCCTGTCCCTGCCGCCCCAGTGTCTGGTGACAGAGGGCGGGGCTCGTCTCACGGCTGGGCCTCCAGGCCTGTGGTCTTGAAGGGAGGGGAAAGGATGGAGGGGGGTGGGGCCGCTGGTGTTTGGGGAAGGGGTGGGCGGCGGCTCCCGGGCCCTCAGAGGCTCTCTTTCTGTGCCGCCCGCGGGCACCGCCTGCGCCTCCGCTCAGATCATCAGGGCCGCCGCCGACCGGGACCGGGAGGCCGTGCGGGAGAAGTCCATCGAGATGAAGTTCCTCACCGGCTACGAGGTCAAGGTGAGCTCCCCGTGGCCCCGGGCCCCGCAGGCGGCTTCACTGTGCGGGGGGCGGGGCAGTGGACTGCTGTTTCCTTTGAAATCTTAAGTGGAACCTCAGTTTATAAGTGGATGGAATCAGAGGTGACAGCCGCCACCTGGGGCTGTCGAAGAGTCGGGCCCTCCCCAGCCTCTGTGCTCCAGGTTCTCCGAGTGGCAGGGCCTGGGACAGTTGAGTTGGATGCCTATGGCTTGTCTTGACCTCTCACTCTGGCCCCCGAGGAGATTTGAGTCACTGGGCACGTTCGTGCTGGGGTTCAGGGCTTTGAGGGGGCGGATGGGGTGGCAGAGCCCCAGCGCTCACTTCCTAAGGCCTCATCGGGGAGAGGTGGGGAGAGCATTGGAGGAAATCTTAGCAGCCCTTTAAATAGAGGGGCAACCGGCTGTGTTCTCATCACCCAGAAGCCACTCAGAAAGCAGTGTTTCTGCTCCTTGACAGTGGGCGGGGTTGAAGAGACCCGGCTTGTCTCAGTCCACCTGTTTAGAGTTCAGAGGCTCAGGTCAGCCCAAGCCTGTAGACTCTTTGGCTTGAAGAGTGTTTCCTGACTGGGAGTGTGAACGCCTTTAGGCCGGCTCACACTGGCATTCTGCTGCAGGCCCCACCACTCCCTTTTGCCTCCCATGGAGCCCCGTTCACACATTCCTGTTGTTTTCCTGGCCCCTGTTGGTTTGAGTTTATGCCCCAGTTATCATTATTTCATCTAGTTAAAAACAGAACACCTACCTGACCCCCTCCTTAGCTTGAAAACAGAGCTTCTAGAGAGCTTGGCGCCAGGGCACTGTGGGAGGAGCTCTGGGGTCTTGTGGCCCCTCACCCTCCCCCCTCCCCTGCAGGCCATGGAGGATGCCCACCTGGATGCCATCCTCATCCTGGGGGAGGCCTTTGCTTCCGAGGAGCCTTTTGACTTCGGCACCCAGAGCACCACCGAGAAGATCCACAACCTGATTCCCATCATGCTGAAGCACCGGCTCATCCCGCCCCCCGAGGAGACCTACTCACTGCACAGGAAGATGGGGGGCTCCTTCCTCATCTGCTCCAAGCTGAAGGCCCGGTTCCCCTGTAAGGCCATGTTCGAGGAGGCCTACAGCAACTACTGCAGGAGGCAGGCCGGGCAGCAGTAGCCGGCCGGCGCTCGTGGGGCCTCTCCGCCTCGTGCGGCTGGAACTGGCAGGAGGCTGGTGGTGGTGACGCCCGTGTAGACGCCTCTTCCCAGTGAGAGGGCGGCTGGCTCCGAGGGGGGGGACGTCGCGTGGAGCCGCGGGGCCAGCGCTCCTACACGGTTTCCATCGCTAAGGGGTGCGGGTGCCAGGCAAGTGGGAAAGTGAAACCCCGGCTCTGTCCAAATCTGCTTGTTGTTCTGCAGCCTCGGAAGCAACTCTAGATACAGAGAAAAAGGCACTTGTACTGCTGTTTCCTTTTTGTAATGGGCTTTTCCTAATGCGGGCGTGAACCAGACCATGAGGGTATCCCTTCCCATCCCTGCCACCAGAACCCACGGAGGAGCCTTTTGGATTTCACGGAGGGTGTAGTGTAAGGGTTGGTGTGTATGTGTGTTTCTAGAACGAGACTGTGTTGCTGCCCATTTCCTCTCCAGCCCGCGGTCTGGAGCTGGGGGAGTGCGCACACGCCTGCGCTCTGGCCGGTTCTGGTTCGCATCCTTTCTCGACAACCGGAAGTTTCCAGAGACCTGCCTCCTGTGGGCGGGGCCAGGAGCAGCAGAAGGGGAGAGGGGCGCAGCTCTCGTCTCCGCTGGAAGAGGGGGTGTGTGTGGGGGCCCTCCTTCCCCCTCCAGCCCCGGGGCCTGCGTGCAAGGAGATGAATGTGCCGGTGTCACCCGGGTAGACCCGAGGGGTCATCACAGGCTCTATTTTTGTACGATTCTTGTAATTGTCTGATTTACTTGTTTCAATAAAAAAAAATGCTAGCATTGTGGCATTAATTCTTTCGCTCGTAAAGGGTCCTGAGCCGGTGGCGACGGGCCCGAGGTCAGTGTCGCGCCCCCCATCCTGCCTCCAGACGCCCCTGCAAGCTTTGCAGCTGTTCCCAGCACGAGGCTCTCGGCGCCTGAACCTGGAAGGCTTCCCCCACGTTCATCGTCAGAGAAAGAGGAGTGTTGGGGGGAGGGAGCTGCCGAGTCACCCTCCTGGCAACCCCCCGACGTGCCCCCAGGTCCCCCCCACGTGGAAAAGCCACAGCTGCTCAGGAGGCTGTGATGCTGCGATGTTGGCGACTGGGAGAACAGTGACAGCTGCGCGGGGTTCGCGCCGGCCCGCGTGGCCGTGACACCCCGAGGGCTCAGCCGAGCTGAGGAGCGGCCTGGAAGTGGCTCTTCCTGGGCGAGCTTAGTGCCTCGGTGACGGGGCATTTGGACAGACCGTGGACGCCCTGAAAAGGGCGTGAGGGGGAGCTCACTCGGAGAGGCTGCCGTGGTCCCAAAGGTTCTCCTGGTGCTTCTAAGGGTTTGTAAGGGAAAATCGACTGCCTGCAATTTGGGACTGACGGGTGACGGCCACGCTGGGCTCCGGGGCAGGATGGCGAGGTCTGGGGGTCCCCATGACAGGTGCCGGGGGGCTCCTTGAGGGTCAGCGCCCAGCACCACCTGCCGATCCCAGGTCAGAGCGTTCAGGGCCGTTTTCAAGGCTGTCTTTACGTATTACGTTACGTTATGATGGCCTGTACTCGTAACTCCCGGGACACTCGAGTGGGCAGGTTTTGGATGAGGAAACAGACTCGGAGGTCAGTGGCTGGCCGAGGATCGGTAAGTAAGTGGTGGAACTGTGATTTGGAACAAGACAGCCTGGCCTTACAGCCACGCTCACTCCAGTCTAAACCAAGGGCCGGCCAACTATGGTCCACAGGCCAGTCCGTCCCCCGCCGGTTTCTGCAAGTCCAGTTTTCCTGGCACACAGCCGCGCTCCTTCGTTGACCTGTGTAAGGCTGCTTTTGTGCTGCAGTGGCGGAGTCGAGCAGCTGCAACAGAGACTTTGTGGGCGCAAAGCCAAAATATTTATTATTCACTGGCCCTTGATAGAGTGAGTTTGCCAAGCCTTGCTCTAACCACTGCACCACCACTGCCTCTAAAGCCTGGCATCCGTTACAGTGAACCGACGACACCCCCGTGGCGGTCAGCAACGCCAGGTACACGTGCGATGGAAACAGGCAGGGGCAGCCTCAGTTTAAGATAAGATGTCCTCTGTTAAGACCACCCTTGGCCTCGCCAGCGTGTCCTCAGATGTATCATTCTAACTCAAAAGCAGTAGTAGCACTGACTGCCTCTCTGCAATAAGTAGACAGAACATCAAAGGGCCACCACGTTTGTACAGTCAGATGTGACAAACAAATGGGGAACGTGGCTGTGGAGAGGGGTCCTCAGTGCAGTGGGCAGGGCCCCTGACGACCCCTCAGGTGGAGCCCAGCCTTGCAGACTGACCGAGGACTAGGGAAATCTGGGCCAGAAGAGGGCCGTGGGAAGCTTCACGTGAACTAAACACTCTTCTTACCTGAGCTGTGGAAGAACTAAGAAAGTCCTAGATTAAACCAACCCCGTGGCCTTCTGTAGAGTAAGGAGGAGGCCTGGGCCACGAGGGGGACCAGCAGAGAGCAGGAGCAAATAAGACAAAACAAGTCACCTTTTCTCCATTCCCCAGCCTTTTTAATCAGGGAAAAAAAGACAAACTACTGAATTCTAACAGTTCCCTGTTTTATTGCAATACATCAAATTCTGGTTAATATTACGTGATACCAACATAAAATATTGGCGAGGAGTCTTTTGTTACATTTTTGACTATCCCACCTTAAATATTTCTGTGCAAAAGAATCCACACCATTGTTTGGTAGCAGAGAATCACTTATAAAGTTCCCTAAGACATTGAGGGCATAAAACCAAACAGAATGAACTCAAGAGTGACGAGAGGCCAAAGCAACGTCTTCCCCTTCCACACACACAGTTGTCAGCATTATATTCTAAACCAAAAAATGATTACACCTAGGCCATGCAAAACTGTACAATAATATTACAATGAGAAAAAACCCTAAAAAATTTATAAAATAAAGGATATTACACTATCAAATAAAAAGGCAGGTCATTTTGTTTTCATGAAACTTCAAGGTTGATTTGTTTTCGTCCATTTCCCCCCATAAATGAAGTGGTCTCTGTGTGGCGGGGCCCCGGGAAGGAAGCGCCGGGCTGGGAGCAGGTGCTCCCGTGGAGGCAGGGCCCTCATATCTAGCAGGACTCCGCAGAGAACTCTGGACTTGAGTAATAAGTACAGTCCCAACAGGGAGAGAGATTTTCAGGTGGGCTCAATGAAATGTCATGCGGCCTGTCTAATCAGGGGCTGTGCCGGGGTGGGGGCAGTGAAGTGCCCAGCTGCTCCCCGGTTCTACCCAGCGGACGTGGGCAGTGGCCAAGTCTGAGTGGCCCTCTGTCCAGGAAGCGGATGGTGAGCTTCACAAGGCCCGCCAGAGGCCGGCGCATGGCCCCGCTGTCCCCGGGGCTGAGGGATGGCCGCCTGCCCCTGCTCTGGCTGTTCTTCAACGGTACCTGAGCAGTCCATGGAAATGCAACTGGTCTTTCACAGGAGTAGATGTGGCCACTGAGTAACAATATGACATGATTCTAACCAGAAGGCAGGCAGATAGAGGCCGAGAGCCAGTCGGGGAATGACAGATTGTGGCTGTAAACATAACAGGAATTTCAGATTCTTCCCTGAAGCCTGGGTACAAGAATTGCTTGGAAAACTAAATAGATGGGCCCTCTTCAGTTGTATCTCATAGCCTTAAAACTGCTCCCTGGGAAAGAGCATAAATCACTGAGTGAAGGGGTGTGTGTGAATGTGTGTGTACACACACGTAACTAAAGAAGGGAAATCTGCTTTAGGAATCATCTGACAAGGAGGAAGGCTTTTGTTTTTGGCAAAAAGAAATATATATATATGTATATATATATAATTTTATACACCCAAAGCACACGACAGGATTAAATTAGAGTTCAGGGTAGACAACAAATTGGCTGGACACAGATAGCACCAAATACCAACACATACAGACTATGCCAGAAATGCCTCTGCATTTATTTTTCCTTTCTACTGAGAAGAGAAATGAGTTCCTGCTGCCATCTACATTTCTAAAATGTCCTGCCCGAAAACAAAGGAGGACTTCAGACAGCAAGAGAACACCTTTTCCACGATCTTTGTTACCGATCCCTCGAGTGATCATTATGTTTTGTTCCCCTGAAACCCATTCCTCATCTTTTCAAATCATTCTTCTCAGAAGCTTCTGAAGGGAACTGCTTCATATTTAAGAGTGGAGATAAGCCCCATAGGACGATCACTACCTTGAGAAAATCCCCCCCTAAACTATGACCCTTGGCAGTGGTTCTCGCCCAAGGTCCTGCTTTTAGAATCTAATCATATTTGGGGCTGCTCTAGTATGACTGATCAGACAACTTAAGATTGCTGCGGAAAAACCAGCAAGGGCCGTGGTGCAGCCCACTGGGTTAATGTTAACAGGCCGCCAGTGGGCCGGCGCCAGAACAAGCCCTCAGTAGCTCTCTGCCCCGTTGGGCGGCTGAAGGGTATGACTCACAGCGGTGGAGTCCAGACCTCAGGTGGGGTTGTATTTTGATCCTAAAAGCATCCTTTAAAAAATAAGCACCTCCAGGCAACAAAAATTCACACTTGGTTGTCAAAGCTCTGAAGTGATGGCTTAGTGTGGAGTCCTGTGAATCCGGCCTGGGGAGGGCGGAGAGGGGAAGGCGCGGGGAAGGGAGGATCAGGAGGAGCGGGGGCAGCTGGCCACAGGCTCTCAGCCTCTGGCTGGCCGGCCGGTTCCCTCCTCTCCCAGGAAGAGCCAAGTTTAAGGAGCTACCAGCGTCATATGCCAATAACCAAACTCAAGTTCTGACCCTTGACATCTGCATGCACAAAAGTACTTTTACATGATGCTTCTCTTCGAAAAGCAGAGAGACGGAGGAGATTAGAACTGTGCAGGGAATTATGCCCATCCGAAGTACAACATAATCAAATCCGAGCAAGCTCTGAGCCCAGAACGTTTAAATGTCAAAGCTGTTATTATTTTTACCTTCTCTATTGTCACCTCTTGCAACATAATCCCCACACAGGATCCTTTCTCCCCTCCCGGAACCTCAGGAGCCTTCTCCACAGAGCAGCAGCCACCTCGAAACAGTCTCAGCTCCCCGAGCATGTGGCCGGCCGGCTGGCTTAGCGGCTCTGAGGAGAAGGCTGTGAGGTCAGGGGTGAGATGAAGGTGCTCGGACCCTGCAATTCAGATTAGCAACTGCAGGAAAACTCTTCCATTTTAGCTGAATTTTAAAGAAGAGAGCAGAAAACCCTGTTTCTACTTCTCAGAGGAATTTAGATAAAAAGTAAAAGAGGCAGATTCTCTTCACTTCCGTGAGATATTTTTATTTCTACCTCTTTCTCTACTCATGTGCTTAACTGGAGAAAAGATTCGGGAGACATCAAGTTCTCCCAGTTCTGCATCTCATTTCGTTGTGGTAATTAAAACTGCAGGGATTCAGGTGGAAATGTGCCTCCCAACACAATACAGCCACCGAGGGAGGAAGAGCTTCCCCACCAAGATGGGCGTGCTGGGCGACCTTCCCGCCTGTGTGCTGGGGCTGAACACGCCCAATTTTCCCGGGGTATGGGAAAGAATATTTGATTAAGGCTGTTCAAGTCCTTGCATTTGAGTTCTTATATTATCTGGTAATTAAATCCTCCTTCCCAGGCTTCTCTGAGGAAGCTCACGCCACCCTCCGTGAGAAGCCGGCTCAGCTAGGGGACAGACATCTCCCTGCAAGTCAGGGAAGGAGGGGACTAGCCCAGGAAAAAAGCACTGTCATGAAACCTTTTATGGACTTTCAGAAGCCATGACATTCCTCTGTCCTTTCAGATGGAAGGGATCAGAAGGTGACAAAACTGCATTTCTTCACTCATCTGCAGAAGACACCAAAATATAATAAAAAATGAGAAGTATGGTTCGAATTCAACTACTAGAAAAAGAAATGTCTTGGATAGAAGAAAATGTGCCTTTTGATGCTGCTGCTGAAGAGGCTTCGAATGTTGTAAGTCTGGTGCTCAGGTGATACTCCAAAGCCAGGACGCCACAGTCCCCGGGTGTTCCCGGGTGACCGTGACAGCGACCTGCGACCAGCTTGAGAACAGGGCACTAGGGGAGCCCTGACGTGGGCTCTCCCTTCATACCTGTCCGCTTGAGGCCCTTCTACCCTCTAGATTACTTAGCTGGAAAACAGACAAGGAACAACACGCTTCTTTAAATTAAATGATCTCTCTTATATATGCATCCATCTTCCGTTGAATACAAGATGCTTCTTTTTACTATATACATTCAGTATTTAACCTCTACATTTGTGTATTTATTTAAACTCTGTATTGTAGTAAAATATGCATTGTTTTAATTAATAAGGATTTACTGGCACCAATCAGGTCGACACTCATGTGGGTGCTGGATGAGCTGGGCCCTGTGCTACCTCAGGACGCTAACGAGACTCTACTGCGAAGAGAAGTCTGTCTAATCTTATTCTTATCGCTTACATTTGTGTAATCTGTCTACTGAAGCTACCTTTTGGGGGAGGGGTAAAATATTATGGAAAGCAACTCTAAGTGTATGAAATGAAATCAATATTAATCTAAGCTGCTCAATGAAAGTCTGCGTTTACGGTTGCGGCTGTTAAGTGAGGGGGGGCTGTGGATCTGCGAGTCATACTGTCAGGATTCCTGCACCCCGACCCTGCTACTGCTGCCAGCCCGACGTCTTCAGGCAGAGGTGGGGGAAGAGATGAAGGTGAGAGGGGCGGGGGGAGGGGCTAAGAGAGCAGCTGCTCTGGCGTAGGCTCTGAGCGCTACAGCGGCTCACGGCTCCCAGCTCCCACGGTCGGTGCTCTCCAGCGAGAGGCTCTTGGTCTTTCGGGGCGACACTGGGCTGGGAGGGCTGCTCAGGTTGGAACTGTTGGAAGCTGTGGAATGCCTCGGAGAATCGGAGTCCTGTAATGAGAAGCGGAGGGGCGGGAAGGGCTCAAGTTACCATGGGTCCCTGCCTGCCACCCTGACCTGACCTGGTGTGACTTTTTTTTTTTTTTTTTACGAGGAAGATCAGCCCTGAGCTAACATCCATGCTAATCCTCCTCTTTTTGCTGAGGAAGACGGGCTCTGAGCTAACATCTATTGCCAATCCTCCTCCTTTATTTTCCCCAAAGCCCCAGTAGATAGTTGTATGTCATAGTTGCACATCTTTCTAGTTGCTGTATGTGGGACGCGGCCTCAGCATGGCCGGAGAAGCGGTGTGTCGGTGCGCGCCTGGGATCCGAACCCCGGGCCGCCAGTAGCGGAGCACGCGCTTAACCGCTAAGCCACGGGGGCCGGCCCTGATGTGACTTTTCTACTGTCAGCATAAGGCCCCTTTTCTGGGCTGAACACAAGGCACAGAATATAACAGACGCTCACAGTCCTTTCTGCAGGCCTTTAGAAATGCGGGCCATTTTCATACAAAAGTTATGAGAAGTCTGAACACCTCCGGGCAAATCGCAGCTGCAATCCAAGAGCCTGGCTGTGCCGCCCCCTGGCTGAGATGGAGCGTGAATGCCCGCTGCAGCTGAGGCCGTTCTCATGGTGGAGGAATCACCGTAAAGGCACCAGGCTCTCTAGTACAGGGTTTCTCCAAGGCCCCATCTCCAGACACAGCTGCTACCCCCGCTGCACTCACCTCTCCGTCAAAGTCCCTCGCCGGGGCATCACTTCCTTGGTCCATGCCTCCGGAAGACAGCGAGCCCTCTGATGGGGAGGGCATGGGCTGCCGCTTTGCACTGTAGCTTCCCCCAGAGAATTCTCTCTTTAATGCACTGCCATTCTGTGCAGATGACCCTGCAGCACATCAAGCGGGTAAAACTTTATGCAGGCAGAAGGGGGTGATCCTTTAGAAAGCATACAGACTGCTGAGATGACCGGCCATCCTTCCCACCACCCCGGGGTCACCCTTCCCAGCTTGAGCCCTTCACTGATGGGCAGCGAGTCCCGCTCCCCCGGAGCCCAGCCATCCTGCACAGTGGTTCCTGCTCCACACCAGCCACGGGGGACGCCCGGTGAGCGGGCAGCACTCTCAGGGCTGCCTGCCCTCCCGCTCCCTGGCCGTGCCTGGACTGCCCTGCTCTCTAGATGATTCCCAGAGAACCAATCCTTCGAGTCTCACTCACACGCTCCCGCCTGAGTGAGTCTTTCCCTCTCCCCCGAGCTCCTACGGTACCTCTCTTTCATAGCATTTACGATATCGTGTTATAATTATGTGCCTGCCATTCTCCTAATGATTGGTCTTTGCCTCTCCAGGGCCCAGCGCAGGACCTGGCACAGAGCAGGTGCTCAAAACACGTGCTGGATGACGAGGCAGAGAACAGTTCCCAGAAACCAGGACCATTCCACCTGGCGCATAACCAAAACTGCTGGAGAACTTGCACAAAAAAATCAAGGAACATAAGAGAAGCATTTTCATTCTACAGGGCAAAGCCTGAGATACAAAAATGAGGTGAGTTTCTTTAAAATCACACTCTATTTGATCTTAGAGTTGGGGTACATAAAAGGGTAGGGACCAGCACTGTTCAGAGGAAGAAAAAGGATGACAAAAAACTCTGAACACACTGGGGTATTGTTAGTGCCTATTTAAAGCACTGTGCATTCTCTAGCAGGCTTTAGCTTTTGCTCAAAAAATGTTTTCATCTTGCTGGGCTTCAATATTAAGATCGTTGTTCAAAAAAGACTGTATTGAGGTTTTAGTACAACTATAAGATACAGATTGTGGTTGTTTCAACTTTTTGCTGGTTTAACAAATCCCAATTTAGTTTTTTTACATTAAGTATTCAATGAAAATGTCAAAAGATCTCTATTTAGAGCATCTGTACCTAATGACCACCAAAATACAGAAGCCTTCATAAACAAACTGAATCGGAGCCTGCCTGGTGAAGACCCGGCCTTGGTGGTCGTGGTCAGCTGCCTTCTAGGCTCGGCTGCAGTCAGAGCCATGTCTGCATTTCCCGGTCACCATAATTTGCTCATTGCAGAGGTTACCAACACTGGTTAGATGCTGTACGTTATATTATGGAGCTTTAAAAATACCAACGCCTGGGCCCTATACCAGACCAATTATAGCAGAATTTCTGATTTAACTTTTAAAAGCTCTTCTCATGATTCTAGAATGCATCTTGGGTTGAGAACCACTGACTTAATCCTACACCTTAGGAGGTCTGCTCCCCAACACTCCAGCCAGTTTCTAGAGATGTCTTCCCCTAGACATGTACTGATTTTCATTTGTTGATATGTTTCTTTGGAAATATATACACAGATTTTTGGTGTGGATCTTCTGTCTCCTTCGATTACAACCTACTTGAAGGCATAAGTCATCTTTTATGATTTCTCTTCCAATTCCCCCATGCTTAGTGTAGCGCCCAGTTTACCAAAACCATAGTGTAAGTTATTATTACTATTACTATTATTACTTTTTTTTGAGGAAGATTGGCCCTGCACTAACATCTGTTGCCAGTCTTCCTCTTTTTCTTTTTCCTCCCCAAAGCCCCAGTACATAGTTGTGTATCCTAGCTGTAGGTCATTCTAGTTCTTCTATGTGGGACGCCGCCTCAGCATGGCTTGATGAGCTGTGAGTAGGTCCACGCCCAGGATCCGAACTGGTGAACCCTGGCCACGGAGCAGAACATGCAAACTTAACTGCTGTGCCACCAGGCCGGCCCCCTAAGTTATTACTTTTTAATTTGTCATTCTGAGGAGAAAACCCAAACTGCCAGAGACTCCCGCTGCTCTGCTTACTATCGTGCGACCTCGGCAGTTGTTTTACCTTTCTGGGTCTCAGTTTTCCTCATCTGTAAATAAGAAAATAAATTCTACCGTACGGGATTTTTGTGAGAGCAACTGAGCGCTCGGCACGTGGAGAACAGAATGCGGGACAGAACGCGCATGGTGGGCTGTGTGGTGGGGGGCTGCACAGCGCTTGGCACATCCTTTTCACCCGTCTCCTTCCCTCCGTCCTAGCGACCACTTACAGAACAAGGAACTTAATCCCACCTCAGTGATTTATGCTTCTTTTAAATTTTGCGAATGTTCCTTTCATAGAAATGACACACTCCATCACCTCAACCGTAAAAAATTATGGTAGGGCTGTTCTGATCGAACAGCAACAGGGGCCTGGGGACAATGTGAAAACGGTGGTCCCGGCTGACCGAGACCACATCCTCCGGCAGGGCCTCTTCTGAGGAGTTCTAGATGTGATTCAGGGGCTCTGGGCCCTGCATCTCTTGGGGTGAGGGTGTCTAACTCTGCACGACCCAGGGAGCCCCCGTCGCTGATGGGAGTGGGTCTTCCCCCTCAGGTGGGCTGCAGTGGAGTCGTGGTGGAAACTTCTGTGTTAATGTGACTTCACGTCACGAAGCCATCATGAGTGTGGCTCTGAAAGATCCTGTGCTTCTGGCTGTGGAGACTGACAACATGGTCCCCTACTTCTTCTTGTCTCTCTCGGCTGGCGGTGCTTCCGGAAACTTTTTCCATGAGCTGGGCTATTCCTGAAGCCAGTAGGAGGCACTCTATAAATAGCAGATGCCCCTTCGCATTCCTGGGATGGTCTTACTCTTACCTCTGTACAAACAGCTTGTAACCAAGAATCTCAGGAAGACCAAACCTGACCACTGCATTAAAGGCCTTGACGGGAATGTGGGGCTAGTTCCAGTCTGTAGGGTGCATACTGTCAACAGCGATGGGGACCTGCACTCCAGCACTCCTAAGGAGAGGGCGACTCGGCCCTTTACATCTCTGTTTTACAGGTCCTATCCCCACCTGCAATTCCACAAATCCCAAAGCCCTGAAAACCAAAATGTTTTTTCAAGTTTGACATAAACTCATGTGGCGGCAAACCCAATCTGATTGGATTGGAGGCTGATGATAGACTTTATTTAAAAAGACTACATTTATTTATATATTTATAGTGTGATGAGTCATAAATTTTGCTGTAAATATTAATATGTTTGTGGGTGCTGTCCCAGATCTTCCTGGGAATGAAACATCATATATGGCAGATTCCTTTCTAAAATATAAAAAATAAAATCTGAATTCTGAAAACAAACAAACAAAAACAACATCTGGCCCCAGGGGTTCTGGGTAATGGATTGTGGACTTAACTATTAATGTTGTGATGCTTTCTTTGCATCTCAATTCTTGATAACTTATGGTTAGTTATGATTTAAATCCATTATCCTACCTAGCCATTAATAAAAAGATAATAAAATGTTTGTCATGCTTCCAATTGGCTAGATTTTTTCATTGTGGTCAGGGCTACGCACTGGTCAGAGACCATTCTAGGAGATAATGGCAAGAAAGATGCAAGTTGTAAGCCTCAAACTTCTGCTTGTCAACTGAAAACTCCTTGAAAACCTGCTCTGTGAATCTGCTGCAGGCACCTCTTGCTGGTATTCATGCCCTGGAGGAGTCCCCTTCCACACTGTGCCGGCCTGGTCTGTGTGATCACCAGAACACTGCAGAAGTGATGGTATGCCACCTCTGAGGTTAGGTTATAAAAAGACTGTTGCTTCCGTCTCTCCATCTCTTGGGTCACTTGCTCTAGGAGACGCCAGCTGCCATGTCGTGAGGACACTCAGGCAATGTACGGACAGGCCCACATTGGTGAGGAATGGAGGCCTCCAGCCAACACAACAGTCAGCAAGGAACGGAGGCCTGCCAACAACCACGTGAGTAAGCTGGGAAGTGGATTCTCCAGTCACAGTCGAGCCTTGAGCTGATGGCAGCCCCGGCAGACGGCTTGACTGCAACCACCGGAGAGACCCTGAGCCGGACCACCCAGCTAAGCCGCTCCCAGATTCCTGACCCTCAGGAACTGTGAGAGATAATATATGTTTGCTGTTTTAAGCTTCTCAGTTTTGGGGTAATTTGTTCTACAGCAAGAGATACCTACTAGAGCACCCTTCACCTTTACATTGCCAGAGCCTAAGAACAACAGCTGGGCACAAAGCGGGCGCTGACATCCATGTTGCTGAACGAACAACAAGTGAAGGAGAAACTCAATCTGCATCAGGAGGCTTTGACTCAAACAGCTAGTTCAAGAACATGAGGCAACAAATACGTTTTTGACTGAACGACTTTTAAATGTGAAACTGGATTCAGTGCAATCCGCTTCTCTTAGAGCTCAGTTGTAGGGAAGTGAAGAGAGGTTTCATTACAGTTAGAACTGGTATATTTTGGGACTGCACTGATGTTGGCACACTCCAGCTATACTCCCTCTGATCTCTAGGCCAATGCCAGGCTACTTTTGAGAAAGTGACAGAAAAGCAGCCCTTGGCCGAGAACAGTCTTCCCCAAATCAGAAGCTATAATGATCATCTGACAACCTACCTCACTGCCTCTAATCCAGGAACTACCAAGGAGCTCAGTGAATGCAGACAGAGTAAAGTTTAATTCTATTTATCAGCCAAATATTCCATCTGTGCATTTCCTCTCAATCTGTGGTAAGCAGCTTTTAGCATCCTGGGTACTTTTATTCAGGTAAACAATATCTTTTGACACGCCTTCCATCCTCTTCCTCCCCACTGAAAAGTTGCTCCTGGGCAGTAGCTGGACATAAGTCCACCATGGAGCACAGTTTTCTCTCTCTGGGGGCCCTGAGCTCAGGGTTCTGTACAGAAGTCCAGAAAGGATGTGTTGCAGCTCAAGGTAAAAAAAAGAGAGGCTAATAAAGATTGTGAGCTACCTGAAGGCAGGTACTCAGTCATCTAGGACTTTACCCTCTGCGTCTTGGCAGAAGAGCTGATAACTGATGGGTCCTCACAAATGTCCACTGGATGAATGATGAACATTACCTGGTTTTTGTGGCAAAAGGGCATTTTCTTGAACCTGTCCCCGGCCTTCTTTCAGTTATCAAACATGCTCATGTTTTTCCTACATTGGGACCTTTGTACATGCCCAGGACGTCCCCTCAAACCTCAGCGAACAGCTTACGCTCTAGCGGCAAACCCAGCAGGAAACCCAGGCATCATCTTTAACTGTCCCTCTCCCTTTCCTTCCCACAGCTAACTCATCATCAAGTCTTCATGTTTCTACCTCCGAAAACATCCCTGGAGACTATCTGCTTCTCTCCATGCTCTGCTCCTTCTCTGCCGCTTCCAAGGATCCATCAGCTCCCACCTGCCACTCCATGCCTCCCACCAGGATGCCTGCTTCCTGCTTGCCCTCCTCTAATCCATTCTCCATTTGACAGCCAGAGGGATCTTTTCAAGAATGCAAATGGATGAAGGTCCTTCCCTACTTAAAACTCCTCAGGGGCTTCCGGTTGCATTTTTAATAAAATAAAAAATGTCTTACCTTGGTCTCCAAGTCCCTGCTTGATCTGACCTTGCCTACCTCTTGTGCTTTATTTTCCGTGACTCCCTGACCCTACCAGGTAGCCACACTGGCCTTCTTTCAATAATCAAACCTGACTCAAAGAGGACTCCACCCCTAGAGAGGGCACGGGTTTTCCTCAGTATGAATTCACCAACAGCTCCCCCTGCTGGTCTCTATCACTGCACCCCGCTTATCTCCTTCAGAGCATCTAGCACCACAGTTTGTAGCATTATCCGTCTGTCTGTCCCCCAGATGCGCTGTGAGCTCTGAAAGGACTCCATGACTACGTCCTTAGCGACTCACTGTGCTTACCGGGCATCACCCCCAGGGCTGAGACACTGGAGCCACCGCTAACGCACGGGTGCACCATGAGGGCGTCAGGGAGAGCACGGCAGCCCACAGGACTGGCAGAGCAGCACGGGTGCCCCTCCTGCAGCCGGGGCCACTTACTTGCTGACAGGCCACTGCTGGCGCTCATGGAGCGACCGGGTTCAGGGCGGGACTTGGTGATGGATGGAATGCTGACTGAGCCACTGAATACTGTCCGACTTTCCTGAGGCCGAGGGTTCTAAAAATAAGAGAAAGAAAAATTCTTCAGCCAGAGAGAAGCTGATTTTCTGCAGAGAGTTCTAGTCTTCATTATAATTTCAAGAAATAAAATTATCTTGACCAGAGTGGCACAGAACAAGGAACAGATTATATAATTCCTCCTGCCCACAAAAGTACTAAAGCCCTAAACAGAAGAAACAGAAGCAAACCTCACCCCAATCAAGGATAAGTGTTCATCCTCACACTTATTGAAATATTTATCAACAAATAAGAATTTTTTTGTTGTGAGAACAGTAAGTAAAGGTTACATGGTTAGAAGTGACAGTGAAGTGTAGAATTACATGGACATTTACAGATAACTGAAACAAAGCATTCACTATGGATGAGATTTTTATTTGCTCAGGATAACTCAGTAACTGAATAAGCCCATCTGGAGGAAAGTCAATTAAAAGTACATTCTTCTCGAGTGAATGTTTTATGGGCGTGGTACTGAACGTGCCGGTTGCACGTCCACATCCCCAGTCACCAGGCCCCCTTGCTGCCCCAGAGACAGGCAGGTACTCTGAGCCATAAAAACGACGTACGCAACACTCACAGCCTGGGTGAAGTGCTTTAACTTGGGCGTATTGGTTGAGAAGTTTCCCATCTAATTACGGAATGGCTTTGGTGTCCCAGGTGGGACATGGGCCTGGAGTGTCTGGAAGTCATGCACACCGAGAGAGGTGGCATGAGGACGAGCTGTCTGAATGTCGCTGAGAACAGAGAGCACTTGGCCTCCCTGATGGCCCCAACCTTCCAGACCAGAAGAAGGGCCAACACCTGAGGGAAGGTTATAGCAAAACAACTAACGCCAGGCCAAAGTGAGTGATCGGGAAAACACGCACTAATAATTCTTGAAAAACACCAAATCATACATTTTGAAGAATCACACCTACAGAAAGCAGGCTGGTCGGCTGGCCCTAAATTCTACTACTGCCATTTTGGTTCACATATCAAATTTGCAAAGTCCATGTAATTCTTAGTGTGTTATTTGTTTAAAGCAAATGCTTTACCTTTTTTTCTCTAAGAAAATAAAAAATTTAAAACTGAAACAGTCAGTGCTAGCATTTCAACATTCGCGCATACAGGAGCAACCCTACAAGAGACCAGCAACATGCGTACAATGCAGCAAAGGAAAGCTCAAAAGAGTGGGGAAGATCAGTTTCAACCTTTAGGTTTTTATTGTTTTTGCTATAAACCTTCAGATACCTTGGTGTCGTCCTTTTCTATAAAATGAACCTACCTTAGAATAAATGGCAAAAATTAAGTCTATAAAAATATACCAGTTGTTTTGTAACATTGACTGTTGAAGTAATAAAAGAATGATACACAGAAGATATGTTTTGTAAAAAAAACAGTTTATCATTCACTTAGCTAAAGTTCAACTTCATTATAAAGTGATATGAAACCTAAGCCTCTGGTCCTTTTCATGTACAAATATGCTTAAGGTTAGGGTAAAACTTGAACTGACATTAGTGTTTCTATTTATAGATGACTAACTTAAGCAACAATTCCACCATCTTTTATAAGAAAAATTCTTGACTGATTAATTTATACAACATTCCTCTGGAATACACTCCCTGCAATCTGTTATCAAGCAAACTAAGGCTTATTTTATCACAGTTAATCTTATTTTGTCAAATAAGACTTTAAATGACATTATAGTTTAATGCCAATGCCAATGCCATTTAAAACATTATAATTTAGCATAATTTTATAATACAAACAAAAACACAAAAATAAACTTCTCATCCTATAGTTAGTTTTCTTAACGGAAAATTACTTTACTATATATACAAATAAAAAATTGATGCAACTATTTTTCTAAGTCAGGGGTCACTATGAAAAATGGGTTTGCATGATACAACCCAAATATTTTATTATCTGCAAAACTAACTTGAGAAAATGTTCCGCTGAAGTTAGTATGGAAGTATGGATATTCAGCCTTAATGGACGTATGGATATTCATCCACTCTTGATGGAAGTATGGATATTCAGCCTTAATGGCCACCAGCTCTCCATCCCACTGCAAAGCCACTGGTAACAAAGATGCATGGCTGAAAGGAAGGGACCGACAGCAGGTGCCACGGTCCTTCAGAAGGCAGCACACTCTGTGTGTTTTTCTCTCTTTGATTTAGTTTTCTTATCTTGGATCCTGGCTGGAATTAAAGGCATATCAGCAACTCAAAGATTAATAAGACTACCTTCTTTTTGCAACTTTTCCAGTTACTCATTAATACTATTATACTTTTTAGTTTGGACATTTTTAAGTTTTTCAAGAAGTGGTTTACTGTAGATAGAAGGCCTGTGGATAGTCCCTACTACAGACTTTACTATATTTAACTTCACTAAATACAAAAAATTTCTCTGAACTGAACTGGTTCTAGGTTAATGAACTATAAAAATTTCAGAAATTCTGGGATCCCTTTTTTGTTTGTTTTAAGAGAATCAAGACCCATTCAGGGGCTATTTCTTATGAGGATATCTGTAGTGGAAAACATCATGATGAGAAAATATTTTATTAAACATAGAAAAACTTCCAATACTATTTCAAAAATAAAACTGAAATCCTCCCCAGGCCTCATCTTTTTCCTCAAAAGAAGAAACAAAACAGCACTTGAATAAAGAGGAGGAGGAGGAGGAATAGAAGTTCGGCAAAAGAGAAACAGGCCACAGGAAAAGGGTCACCAGTGTAGCACCTCAGCGGTGTTACTCAGGAAGCCAGGCAGAGGACCCGCACGCGGTTAGTACAAGTTAACACCTGACTCAGCTGTCCATACCCTCAGAGTCATAAAGCTTGGTGTACCGGGGGCAGAGCGCAGAGACGGGGAGGATTCAGGGTTTATGGAATCAGGACAGAGAAATTTTTCAGCAGAATTAACAGTCATGTGATAGATGTGCTCAAAGTTGATCGGAGAGGAGATCAGACCGGAGTGATGATGAGGGGATGGATAAGGGAAACCTGGCTATCAAAAACAACAGAGAGAAGAGAAAAGGTAAGAAGGCAATGAAAATGGATTCACTAGTTACACGTGACATTTCAGAAACCATGCATGTGGAAAACATGCCACAAGTATCGCACATCAGAACTGAGCCCTTCATGAATACTTGCAGGTCTCAGGATGGTAAATTCCGGAATCCTCCTGCCAATTACTTAAACAGCTGATTTGCAAAAGATCATTCACTTTATAAAATTATTCTTTTATGACTATCGTCAAGTGAGTAGAAACTGGACTTGCAGAGATGCAAGGAGACTTTCAGAGTTTAGTTCAGTGTTTTCCTGTGTGATAGCATCAAAACACAGCAAAAATCTACCAAAAACAATAGGATAGAAAAAAGCAAGAAACAGTTAAAGAAAAGAACAAGGGAACCTAAAACCAGCCTCTCATTATAAATGTTATGAAACTGTTTCTTTAGAAACCTAAAACCATTTCCTGGTATTTATAGACTTGTGATAAATGTTTGCTTTTACTGATCTTATTTTCTTATCACAAAAATTGTGGGAGCTGGCCCTGTGGCACAGTGGTTAAGTTTGGCCTGCTCCACTTCAGTGGTCCAGGTTCACAGGTTCGGATCCCAGGCACAGACCTACACCACTCGTCAGCCATGCTGTGATGGTGTCCCACATACAAAATAGAGGAAGACTGGCACAGATGTTAGCTCAGGGTGAATCTTCCTCAGGGAAAAAAAAAATTGTGATAACTGTGGAATATACCAATTATTGGTTTACCTTTAAGCAGTCCAAGCTCATCTCCATGTAGACACCCAAAAGAATATGTTTGATTTTAATAAGGGAAAAATTTCCCTTCAATGTTTCGGTGTATTAAAAAAATAAGTTTTTGAAGCCAAAGACTCTAGTTTTTCAGATAAAATAACTTCTGAATATTTGGGAACTGTCACTCAGTACCCAGTCACTTTCTCTGGGAATTTTCAAGGTTCAGTTTTTGAAGAACAACTGTGTTTCCAGGAGACGTCCTGTGACCCCCTCATTAGGGGCAGAGATTGAATAACTTGCTGGAGAGAATGCTGACTGAATTTATGTTCTCATGAGTTGAGATGAGCTTGCTTTGTTAAACAAAATCTGGTCAATTATGTAGGTTTAAAAGAAAGGCTCCTATGTAAGATATTGTTTTAAATTTAGAGATGTGAGTGAAATCAGTACTTTCTCAGGTTATTTCCAAAAAGAAAAAAAAAAAAACTATTGATGTAAATGTAACTTTGACTTTAAGAAGCAAAACTACTTCTTAAAGTTCTAAGAGGTCATTGAGCCAGAAATTTTATCCTAATGAACAGTCTTAGGAATGGGAAAATGCTAGGAGAAATGTTATGTGCTGAAAATAAATCTTCTACAGTTAAAATGTGATCTTGCATTCAATTGGAGAAAAATCTGTCCTTTATTACCAGTATCCACTATGAATAAAGGTAAATGACAAAAGGAGTCAAGAAAACTAACACAGTATGTACTTTGAAGACATACATGCTATTTTATATTAATAGTTTATTTTCTCTTGGGTCACTAAGACAAACGTGAAAGGTTCACATCAGCTATAGGAGATGAAAGGAAAAAAAATGACTCTCTTACTATCTCTTCCATATTCATGAGGCAAACAACCCTATTTCAGTATCATTTTGGTACAAAGGAAACACAATTAAGCTTCTAAAGACGTCCAATAACCTCTCTTCAGCTTCTAAGTAATTCACAGGAAAGCAATACGGATTCGAATAAGTTGAAACATAAAAATGTCTGAGATACATGCTCTTTGCATGGACGACAACATGTAGCTTTGGTATTTGAAAGCTCTCCTTTACATGTTAATGTTAGATGAATTTAATTCATCTTAATTTTTGGAAATAGTTCACTAAATATAGATAATTCTATTTCAGTAGAAAGAACTAAAATCTGAGAACATATTAAAATATCTCAAGCTTTTCAATAAATATATATATATACACACACAGATACAGACATGCATAGTATTATATTTTTCAGACATGCATGTTATTGTATTGTTTACCAGTGTCTACCCCAAGATAAGCATTGTTCTGGGCAGACAGCAGATTAAGAAATGTTTGTTAGCTGATTAAATGGACACCTATGAAAAGCCCCAGCTTGCATATCCTTTGCTGGTGAAAGGAAGAAAGTCAGGTGAAAATAAAATAAGGCTGTGAAGAACAGGAATTCAGACACATAACATCTTTGATGGAATACTACACGGACAGGTGAAGAGACAGGTTCAAAAATTTACATCAACTTCTTGTCCTGGAAACAGAAGAGTGCTTAAATGATAAAACATGAAACACATGGGAGGAACATTAAAAATTGGATTGCATCAATAGGGCAAAAAGTCACTTGCGTTAATGACGCAAAGAACCAACAAGGTGGTCACGGGTTAACAAAATCAGTGACAACAAAAATCAGGAGGTCTAAGGGGAATAAGAGGCGGGTACAGAAGGCCACGAGTCGTGGGGTCAGGTGGGGGACCAATCTTTGGGAAACGCTATCTGAACTTGTTTTGCTCAGTAATAAAGACTAGACCTTATTTTGAACAAAAAAATTAGAGAGTTTTCTTTTACTTTAAGTGGTGGGAGGGTGAGGGGAGAAAAAGTAGAGTAAGGAGGGATGCTTCATATAAAAGTTCTTACAATGTCGGAAATTTGACATTTTGCTTCAGTGTGCTTATTCAGGGTGTAGGAATACCACGTCTCACTGTGTATGAAGGTCTGAAAGAATTCTGGAACATTAGCTAATTGATTTTTCACCTGAGGCAGAAGAATACCAAGCAGAGGAACATTTTATTAAATCTTGAAACTGCTTCACTTTAAGAAAAATACTGTAATACGTGGGATATAACAGAATTTATAGAAAAATTTTCTATAATTCTTCTTGCTATGTTGTTGGAATATATGAGATGAAAACCATATTCTTTTTTGTGCACCAAAATGAAGCAAAAGTGAAAGAAATTCTAATTTTAAAAGGATAATACCTATTAAAACCTTGTTAACAACTGAAATAATTTGGTATGTGCCGATGTGTTGTTTTGCAACATATATATGTGTGTTTGAAATTTGTATCCCTCTATTCCTCCACAATGCTAACCACATATCAGGTGCTGAAAAACTATTTCCTAACTAAATTTCAAAAAGTTTCATTAAAATAGTACATAACACTTGCTCTATCAAATATAAGCTATAAATATTTAATTATGATAAACATTTCAACTGTTTATCATAATTAAAAAATTCTCTCTCTTTAAGGTGCTCTGTACCTGACATTGTAACTTCCAAGAGGAAAAATGACAGAGGTTTTGGATTATATAGTCATGTTATGTTTACTTCTGAGAATAAAGGAAAACCAGACTGAGGACCTTAAGCAAATGTTCAGAATGGGAAAGAATGGAGAGAAATCTGAACTCTCATTCCCAGGCAAAAGCTGCAAAAGTAGTATAACTTTTAAATATGATAGATAAGTATAAGAGTTTAATATTTAACATGTTCAGTCTTAAATTTTTCACTTAGTTTTAATTACTATATCAAGATTAGCTGTAATCTTTTTGCATGCTTTATTTATATTTACCCAGCAGGGCTAATAATAATCCCCATTCGAAAAGGATAAATGACTATTGTGAATGACTGGAACTCCTTCAAGGAAGGAACAGTACAATAACCACATAATAAAAACGTCTTCATGACGATGAAAAAATGATGCATGAGAATGTCACATTCACTCATAAGCAGGGCCAACTGGTTAACTGGGATATTTCAGTAAGGAACTCAGACTCAAACGAATACAGGTTTTTTGTTCCTCCCACGAAATAAACGCAAAGTTACTGTTAAAAGCTTAACTTTTTTATTTTAAAAAGCTTGCCTGCACATCAAACTATATTACCTGTCATTTTTTCTGTCCATGATAGATGTTTTTATCTTCTATCATAGTAGAGTTAGTAATGTGGGTAATTAAGACAGATTGCCTTAAAAAGAGCTTTGGGTCAAGATTCACGAATCATCTTCCAAACTGCCATAGTACATAAAGTATGCTTACAATTCTGCGCAAAATCTAGATGCTATCACGACTGATCAAAAGAGTCATATTAAGGTTTCAATAGTTTGTTGAGAGTACTATGATACTGAAATGTCAATAATAAACGGAGCCTGGATAATTAGTCAATTATCCAAATATTCTTAGTCTCAAAATAATAGATCCCCAAATCAAATCTGCATGTTGTTATAAAACAACATTTTCATATGTTGTACTTTTCAATGTAAGACTGACCAGGCAACATGTTTGTAATTGGGCGAAGGAAAAATATTTAACTTCACAATCAGATGAGAGGTGTAACAATTAATGACCAAGCTAATGTGGTTTTCTGGCGGGGGGGAAAGGCCAAATATCTGTACTGAATTGCTAAATCTTAGTGAAATTTTAATAATTTGGCAACCCATTCTGAATCTTGGTAGAGATCCTTCCCAAATCTGGCAGTTTATTCCACCAACAACAGTAACTCTAAGGATGAGAGAAGTTTTTAAAATAAGAACTTGGTATGCTTGGTTTTTGATAGATGTATAAATTTTATGTTTTTCTCATCAAGTATGTCATCATGCATCTTACACATTGTGATATACTGACATAAGCATTGCCTCTTTATACTAATATATTTTCTTGTCTATATACATATTTAAACACATAAATATATACACACACACACATACATGTATTCCCTCCCCTGCCCCCACTTACTCTCAACCCCACTGATATTCACATTCACTCTTCATTTTTCTTACCATGGGCAGATCTTTTAGGATCTGTATTCCATCTCCTGGACCCATGTGTGCTATGTGGTTAAAATTAGTTGGGTTAGAAATTAATTTATTTCTCATTTCTGGATCTCGTAGCATCTCTCTGTAAGATAAGACATCCGTTTAGACATTTTTATCCATGATCAATTGAGATAACTTTAGAAAAAAATTAAGCATACTCTATTTTTTCATAAAAATAAACCTGTGCAATCATGGTAATGAGGCTAGAACTAAAATAATGGAATAAACTCAATTAAAAATTGACTTAGAAGATTTTGTTTTAAATTTTAAATAAAAGATCTTATGATTGTGGTGGGAAAATGCAGAGGGTTCTTTTAGTGCTTACACATCAAAGAAGTCTACTCTATTTTACAGATAATTCTGACCATTTTATGGATGTCTTTTAAAATAACTGATAATACTTTAGAAATGTTTTATAGGTAACTGGAAATACTACCAGCCTATTTCTGTTTGCTCGGAAGAGAACAGTTAATCTGAAGTTTTTAGATATACACAGGTTTACTGTGTGCACAGATATGTTCTATGTTTATATTATAGAAAGGCCCACATTCTGAAAATTCTAACTATTCCACATACATTGAGAAATGAATCAAAATTACACTGAGAAGTACACTCATTATGGCAGGTTTTAACACCACAGATGAATGACAGATTTTCAGAGATCAGATTTTCCTTCCACGTCAAATATAGTATTATCACCAAACAGTCCTTCCAGTGCTGCCAGCGAGTGTGGATGATGAGTATAAATTAAAAATCTACCTCCGCTGTTGCATCCTCTCCTCTTCTGGGACTCTGAAGGAGTAACGCCGCTTGTTGTTAATATTTCTCACCATTTGTTTCCGACTATTATCTGACGTTTCAGGAACTACTAGTTCATCCCCTTCTGTTAAAAAAATACAAAGAATAATTATTTTCTTTAAAGTGCTAAAATGCTTTTTATCCATTAATCTCCAAGACAGTACAAATATTAATCAATTGTACAAGTACGTAATCAAGCATAAATGGTAAACTATTCAAGTAAATGATAACAATTAAAATTATTTTTACATATTAAAACATTTCCTCTGCAAGATCCAGTATGCGAGATGTGGAGTAAGTAAAAGGAATTGTGCTCCCACTAGTTTCGTTTTTATTTATTATTTATTATCATTTATTATTGATTGATTGATTGATTGAGGAAGATCAGCCCTGAGCCAACATCCATGCCAATCCTCCTCTTTTTGCCGAGGAAGACTGGCCCTGGGCTAACATCTGTGCCCATCTTCCTCCACTTTATTTGGGAGGCCGCCACAGCATGGCCTGACAAGCGGTGCGTCGGTGCGTGCCTGGGATCCGAACCTGGACCGCCAGCAGCGGAGCGCGTGCACTTAACTGCTACGCCTAGGGGCCGGCCCAGCCTCCTTTTCTAAAGGCAAGAATCTGTAGCTATTTCTATTCTTCTCGCCTTGGGGGGAGAGGATACTTAATCGTATACACCTAGCAACGCAGTGCCCATCTTACCCTATTTCAATTTTAATACCTAGAGGTGAATAAAACTGTCAGCCATGGGCTCCCAGAACATGCTGGGATATATGAACACATTCTAAGAATAAAAGAGATGATTGTGTCTATACACCATGATGGATGCCATTCTCTAAACACAAGATAAGGGAGAAGAGAAAAGGTCATCTTTTTAAGTTTTTAACACCCAAAAAACTAAAGAGAGAAAAAGAAGGTCAGAAGAAGCCAAGTGGGCCTGGAAGGCAAGCCAAAGTCGACGATTAGAAAAAAGCAACATTCTCCTGTATCGTCGTAGCTTAATCAGATTGCTTTCCTAACAACAAATGTTAAAAGGACAGAACTTTTAAAGCAGATGAGAATGTGAAGCACAATTTTGGAATTTGAGAATTGTGAGGGTAAAGCAGGTGTTGGTGCGTTGTGGTGGCAAGGGGGGATTTTGGACAGCCAGAGGGCTGCAGGAGCATTTGAGCTCCTGAGAGATGAAGGAGAAAGTGAGACAGAAAAAGAAAAGGGCTCTGGGAAAGGCGATTTCCTTCCCTTTTCAAAGAACAAGACAACTACTTTGCGATTTTGTCAGGTCTTCCTCCTCCAAGCTCCACCTCTGCTCTTAGCCTAGAGCAGAAAGACGGAAGCCCAGGAAGAGACACATTGGCAGAGGTGTTACCCTAGAGACACAAACTGGGTAACGGGCACGTTTTATGATCAGCATGGCACACACACTGAGAATAGAGTGGATCCAATCTTCTACAAATATTTGGAATTCCTCTAAGAAACAGATACAAAATTAAGTATAGGGTCTTGGAAGTGAGGGCCCTAAAGCTTAAGTTTCATTAGCTTCATGGTGAATTCATTCTGAGTGGGAATCCTTTCTAAAACCTGAATATGCTTTCTCAAGTCATACTGGAATATCCTCCTAGCGTAGGTTGTCTCCTACAGTCACCAGACTGGATACAGGAAACTTCCAGTGCCAAGAGGATGTAGCAGAGCGTTAAATCTGAAGCCCCGCCATTGTATTTTAGTATTTAAAAACAAACAAAAACAAAAACAACAAATAAACTTTCGATGGATTTTTTTGATAGCAGAATATATAAATTTATTGGAAGAATATGGGGGAAAAAAGTATAAAGAAGTTAACAATCTCACTAGCCAAAGAGAACTGGTATAAACATTTTAATGTGTTTTCTTGATGCCGATGTTTTCACTTACATTTAAATCAATTTAAATTACTATTTTAAATACATAGTGTGCCATAAGTACATCTTCATTAAATAGATCCACTATAAAAGATCATAAATTTATGAATACCTTTGTTGTATAGAAATCTGTTGCTAAGACATGAGAATAACTTTATAATAAGGAAGAGAGCATTATAATAACATTTGTTAAAAGTGAGATTTTAACTGTTGAAGTACACTCTGGCAAATCACTTTCATATTTAATTACACGTGGACAGGCTCCCTGGCTGGGACTCACCTCACTACTTTGGACACTGCCCTTCTCCTCTCCCAGGGTGCCCACCCCTTCTCCTGATTCTGGGCACTCCTGTGACTTTCCTCTCTTCCCTGCTTCTGCCGCCCATGCTGTCATTAGCACTTTTGGTGTTCTAAACCCTGTGCATGGGCAGAAGATGTATTCCAAAGTCCCCAGTCGGAACTCTGGATGAGTTTTCATAATTTTAGTGCTACAAATCTTGGTCAGGTTCTTCAGTATTAAAAGTACAGAAGATACATTCAGCTATACTGTCTCTACTTACCTCAGTACTCCACAGAAAAATAACAAGGCAGGTCAGAAACAAATATTTTGCTTGCATAGCTATGCAAGCTCAAACAGGATGACTTTTTGTCCAGTAGTTTATCTTAATATACTGAAAGAGCATTATAGTGGCCAAGATCACAGATTTTGGAGCAAGATACAGCTGAGTGTAAATCTGGGCTCTGCCACTTATTATCTTCAGGCAGTCAGCTTAGAGAGGATATTTCCATTGAAGCTATTTGATTAATGTGTATTTTCTTACCTGCCATCTTATTTTTAAAATATATTAATCTAATTGTCTCCAACCCTAAAAGATTTAACGATCCTTCACTGTTTAAGGGTCGGACCTAAAATAATAAAAAATGAAATTAGTATTTCAACAAAACCTTCAAAAATTAAATCTAAAACGTTTGGCCTGTTTACAAAGCACATACTATTAAGACCTTTAATTTATCCTTCCCCTTCAAAATACAGTCCTCACAGAAAATCAACAAAAAATTAACATTAGTTCTGACTGGAAAGGTATAAAATTATCTAATTTGAACAAAGTTATAATAATAACATTTTAAAGAAAGAATATTCTGGGGGGAAAAACGTAGAAATACATTTAAAACTTAAATTTGACTTTTTAAAGCCATTAGTGACCAAACGATTATACTAAGATATCAACACAGCTACTTTATGAATCTTATTGGAACTAAATGTACATAAATGACAGAAATGAAATTGTACATCACTGGAGAAAGGAGGGACTGTCAATAAACGGTGATGGAGCAGCTGGTTTTCTATATGGAACAAATGAAATTGAATCCCTGCCTTACACCATACACAAAAAATCAATTCCAAATGAATTAAAGATATAAATGTAATAGGCAAAACTTTCAAACTTTGGAAAGAAAATAAAGGTCATATCTTTATGATCTTGAGGCAGGAAAGAGTTTCCTAAGCAAGAGGAAAAAGATAAACCCAAAGGATGAGAATAACACTTTTAACTACATTAAAATTTATAACAATAAATTTTTAGCAAGACAATGTAATTTATTGTTATAAATAGCAAAATATACCATAAAATGAATAGACAGGTCACAAACAGGGAAAAGATTCACTACATCCATTACTAACCCAGTTCTACATTATATAAAGAATTTCAATAAGTCAATAAGAAAAAGAGGACCAATCAAATAGAAAACCATTTATTACGGTTATACAACTATGAATTCTGGCAATGGCAAGTGTTAGAAAGAATGTGGGTCAGTAAGGACTCTTACATACTGCTGGTGGGAGTGTCAACTGGTACAATTACTTTGGAAAATAATTTGACATATCTGGTAAAGTCGAACACTTGCATTCCCTGTGACCACCAATTCCATTCCTAAGAATGTGACTTAAAGAAACTACTGCACCCACACACCAGAAGATGTATGCAGCAATGTCCATAACAGCAAAAAGCTGGGTTGATAATTTAAATGTCTGCTAATCAGAGAATGGATAAATAAACTGTGATCTATTCACCCAACAGTACATTTTATAGTAGTGCAAAGCAATGAATTTTTAAACAGTATGTGTAACAACATGGATGAATCTTAGAAACATAGTAAATGCATGAAGAAAGCAAGGCAGAAGATGATATACAACATAAAATTATAGTCTCAAATGCAAGCAAAACTGAACAATATATTGTTTAGGAATATTTAATATGCAGAAACTTTTGTATTTTAAGAAAAGCAAGGGAATGATAAACACACCATTCAGGATAGTGAACTTCTCTGGGGTGAGACAGGAGTATGGGATAAGGGAAAGGTACACAGGTAGATGCAGTGATACTGATAATGGTCTGGCTCTTAGGTTAGGAGGTGGGGTCACAAGTGATGGGTTTACTATTATGTTTCATAAAGGTCACATATTCTTTCATATATATTTCAAAATTAACATGATAAAAATAAAATGGAAAACTAATTGAAACTAGCCAAAAATTACAAACCAGAGGACCATATTAAGTTGCTTTATATAATGTGGTAGTATTTATAAGAGCTTTTCTCATTGTTGATGTGGTTTAAAATTGGGGCAGATTTTTAAATATAATCTTGGCTACTTTCTTTTAGCTATTCCTCTAAACTCTGCCCCTCAACTTGTGATACACGCTACATATATATATATATGAAACTATTACTCTTCACTTTTGCAAAATACCTGTTCTATACTCGTAAAAATTCTCTTCATGTTATCAAAGGGAAATATTAAAGGAAAATACTATGTTTTATTATGCATATGTGAAACCTTTATTTTTTAAGCATGAAAAATGCTTACACACAGTTTTGGTTCCAAGTTTAATCACTTTTCTGGCCTGTGAAATCTGTCCTCAGAGGATTTAAAATTGCATACCATTATGTGAAAAATAGCAATAATTAAGAATAATATGGGCCGGCCCCGTGGCTTAGCGGTTGAGTGCGCACGCTCCGCTGCTGGCAGCCCAGGTTCGGATCCCGGGAGCACACTGACGCACCACTTCTCTGGCCATGCTGAGGCCGCGTCCCACGTACAGTAACTAGAAGGATGTGCAGCTATGACATACAACTATCTACTGGGGCTTTGGGGGAAAAAAATAAATAAATAAAATTATAAAAAAAAAAAAAGGGGCCAGCCCGGTGGCGCAAGCGGTTAAGTGCGCACGTTCCGCTGCTGCAGCCTGGGGTTCGCCGGTTCGGATCCCGGGTGCGCACCGATGCACCGCTTGTTAAGCCATGCTGTGGCGGTGTCCCATATAAAGTAGAGGAAGATGGGCATGGATGTTAGCCCAGGGCCAGTCTTCCTCAGTAAAAAAGAGGAGGATTGGCATTGGATGTTAGCTCAGGGCTGGTCCTCCTCACAAAAAAAAAAAAAAAAAAAAAAAAGAATAATATACTCCCTCAGAGCTCCTTAAACTAAAGTGGAAGATAACACTGACATTCTAGGTTCTAGGATACATTCTAGTTGTTCATTATAATAATCATACTATATAGTGAAACTAACTGTAACAAAAATAGTATGGCGTTGAGCTACCTGTAAAAGTCACCAGCTTGATTTTTGTTTCTACTTTTTTACTCTTGGCTAAGTCCCAAATTACCAATTATATATGCCAGAAAATGCTGAATTCATGAAAAATAGCTAAATAGTCACATCAGTGTTTCACTCATTAGTTCACTTAGCCCACATTTTTAATGTTAAATTACCTTTTTGAGGGGGAGAGTCTGAATCCATTCCATGGAGTTCACATCAAAGATATCGACCGCATTCTCACTATACACTGAGAGATATGGTGCATTGTAACCTGGGAGAAGGTAGAGGGAACAGCCGGCTGGTTACTTTAATTATTAAACCCAAAACAGTTTGAAAGATCTATGCTAAATAACTGCAGAGCAGAATCCCACCCAAATTCCATTGTTCTCATATAATAGCCACATCAAAACATTTTTGAAGTAAAAAGAACATACATCATAGATGAAAAGATTTTATAGCCATTATAATACAGAAGGATTCTGTTAACACTGGGGATATAATATTCCCTTGCCCAATACTAGTCCTATAAAGGAACTTCATTACATTTTCAAGTACTCGATTCCTAAAGTTAAGCTACTAACAGTGAAACAAACTTACAAAGTGGAGAAATCTTTAGGTAAGAGTTCTAGTCACAGTTGTGAATGTATGATAAGGGACCTGGCACAGTTACATGAGCAGGGGAGATGCTCAATATATACTTACTGAGAGGATGAACATCGATAAATGGTGACACAAGCAAAGAGAGATTAAATGATTTACTTAAACTAAGGTTATGAATTAGATTTTTGGCAGAGCTATTCATAAAAGCCAGATATTCCAATTCTTACTCCACATTAGAAGTAATACTTGGAATTAATATGACTAGGTTACAAAACAGCATTCATTCTAAATATGATGCCACAGATAAGAGTATATATTTCAGAAGAAACAAAACATTAAGAATAGTCAAGTCTGGGTGGGTAGGATTAGAAGCATTTCTCTTTTGTTCTTTTTAAGTAGATTTTTAAAATTTTTCTGGAATAAGCATGTATGGCTCTCCTAAGCTTTCTTCCACTGCACCTTAAACTCGACTGTCCCACACCCATCATTCCTCTGATCTTGTCACAGCAGAAGAGGCACTCCTCCTGCCCCAAATCCTTCCCCAGGTTCTGAATTCCACTGTCTCCACCCTTCTTGGGGAACTTATTCTATTTCCCGTATTTACCAGATAGTCAACCTTTCCCTAGCCCCCTAGTGGCTATTTCCTTTCAGCATTTAAACATGCTCAAGTATCTTTCACTAAAATCAAAACATTCTGGGTTAGATACCCCTCCTACGTGCATACGGAACTCTGTACTTCCGCGATCACAGCACATATTCTACTGCAACTTCTGGTTTGGTCACGAACCCATCCTACTGCCCTCTATGCTCTGTGAGGGTGAGACTGTCCATTCTGCTCATCGTTATATCTCGTACAGTGAAATGGCACATAATAAGTATTGGGTAATTTATTAATGTCCTAATATTTCTTGAAAGAGTACAATAGGAAATTTTACATATCTACCTATCTAGATAAAAAGGTAAAACTGAATAAAACTTCTTTTAGATGCTACATTATACCTTTACATAACTGATTAAATAATTCACTTAGTAACTACTTCTCCAGAATAAGTCTTATGAGCTATTAATGCTCACAAGCACTATATTTTTGGGGACCATGAAGATAACTATTTAGAGTTATTTCAAAATACAACAACATGGGTTAAAAATCCATCTAAATAAAATATTCCATAGAAAGATTAGTTTTAATTATGTGCATGTTAATGTTGACCCTGTTGGCTTAGGTCTAACTACATATGGTTACTTTACATAACAACATAATTAATACTTAGGAAAAAACTTAAGGATGACTTAAAATAATAACTTGTTAATAACAATGAATACATATAGGAAATGAAGTAGAAGGAAAAAGAAAGAGACTGAAAGATAAGAGCCAAAAGTAAGAGAATCTTACAACAAGAGGAAGGATTTGCTGGCCACATCAACTCCTGTTGTCTAGATCTTCGGCCCTGGCAGTCAGTGTATATCCCAATGCTGTTAAAACACAGCAGGTATTCTTTACTGGAGATCTCAACTGCACAGATGGCATCCATGGGTTGATGTGCAATAAATGATAGTGTATGGTCATTTGAATGGAGCATACTGTATGGACTTCCTTCTCCATTCAAGGGGTATCTTAGAAATCCTGACTGGAATCCCACACAGAGTTGTTCACTGAAGATTGCCATCCACTGGACATTATATGGGACTTGAATGTCCTTAAATTTTCTGTGACGGGTCTTGCTCTGAAATAGTTCATAACAGAGGACCTGCCTTTTCATAGCCACACACAGGCACGTAAGAGCTCCATGGCGCACTTTTCCAGAAGTTATGGTTTGACACCCTTTAGTTTCTGCCAGCTTATAAAAATCAGTCTCTCGCCCGTCCAAAGCTGACATAGGAAAAAGTCGTACGTGACGATTTCGTCCTGAGATCACAGCTACAAGCTGATCATTTGGAATGAGTTCAATCTGATGAATCTTCTTATTGTCACCAACTCTAATAATTTCTATGCAAAGACATAATAATAAATCAAATGCAAAATAATGTTTTGTTTACTTATTAATCATATATCCCAATTATACTCAAAAGGATATAAATCAACTTATAATAAAGACACAGATACACACACAGAAGAATAAGAGACCAGAAATTATAAGCAGAAAGAGGAAGATAAGTACACTTATTATAAGATAATTTAACCTACCCTAGAAAGGTATTAAATTCAGCACTGAGATTTCTCACAGCCAAGGCAAAGAGTTCCTGTGTGACAGAGCATGTCAGATCTTCAAGAAAAACCTTTTTTACTGGCACTAACTTCTAAAGAACTTTACCATGGAGTTCCTATTTTAAAAAAGTGAGTTACTCATATTTCACTAAAGGGTAACAAACTAACGTAGTTTTAATGCATTGTTTTCCCATGATCTAACTTGATAGAAAGACAGAACTTAGAACACTATTCAAGAATGCTAAATTAAATTGGTTCCTTTTTATTTCGCCCAGTACAGTCATGCACTGCTTAATGCTGGGTACACGTTCTGAGAAATGCGTTGTTAGGCCATTTTGTTGTTGTGTGAACATCACATAGTGCACTGAAGGGGAAGAAAATTTGCCACCCCAAAATGTGTCTCTTTAACATGAGGATTATTTTAGGCTGATTACTTTTAAGAAGCAAAAGACCCAGAAAGTTTTTCTTGTTACCTCCCCCTTAACTGCCTAAAAAAATTCAGATTAAAAAAACCTGTCTCAGGAAGCGAGCTATCACCTTAGCATAACATACAACTAGGTGGTAGACAGGGAGGAACCTCGAAAAGCCTGTTTGCTGGGCTCCCCTCTGTGTTCTTCTGTTTCTCTGTGGCCAAACACACACCTGTTTCCCAAACATTTGCTCCTTTTCACCTACCTGTGAATTTCCTTCCTTCCCTTTTTAAGTCCATGACTCTCCCCACCCCCAACGTCGTCTTCTGTCTTTAGCTGAGGATGGTGTTTAAGGTGAGGGCTTTGGCCATTTTGGTGAGTTACTCAGTTTTCCTGGGTTTCTTTCATGTATACATGTTGTTAAACTTTTGTTTGTTTTTCTCCTGTTAATCTATCTCAACGTCTATTTAATTCTTTGACCAGACAGAAGAACCTACAGGGTAGAGGAAAATTTCTTCCTCCCCTACAGTACTTACACAGACCCAGATGGTATAGCCCACTACACACCTAGGTTACGTGGTACTAATCCTATGGGACCACAGTCATATATGGGGTCTGCAGTTGACCGAAACGTCATTATGTGGTGCATGACTGTATTTAATTTCTCCCTAGAAAAAAATCTGTTGTATTAAACTGTGGGGAACAACAACAAACACATTTTAATGACTGTTACCTCTTCTAGTACACTTAGAACAATGGAAAAATCAAGTTGTATTTTCTTTCATGTACCGTATTTAGAAATGCAATCTGAGTTCAAATAGCAGAATTGTTAAATAAAATGACACGAGAAAGACAAAACACACTTAGAAGTTTCAGAACTCAAGAGGATTACAGAAATTAGAAAATTATCTTTTGACTTATAAACACATCAAATTAGGTCTGGAAAATTTCAATTATAGAATAAATAAGAGCATACCTTGCTCTTTTTAGGAATTAGAATCTGGAATTTTCTAACAACATATAGTTAAAAGTTACTCCACAATAACGAAGTTTTCTCTTACCATCTTTAGTGACATGTACGACAAATAACCCTTCTTCATTTCCCAAAGCTATCCTCTCATGATCTGTATAAGACATAAATATAAGGCATTTGTATTAGGTAAAAACTATGTTAAACTAATACAATAAAACAGATAATAAAGAAATTTGGTGCAAAATACTGAAATAAAATACTTTAAAAATAGCAATAACAATTTACACTATTAAATTTCCTTTCAGATTACAGTGGTAAATATTATCTCATGTCTCTTTTAATAGAACAATCACTAGAAAATAATCTATACCAACACCGAAAAAAAAGTAAAGGCATTTATTCAATAAAAAGTGAAAAAAAATTTAAAAACCTAAGTTTGTTCGTATCCTGGGGGTCCAGGTCCATTTCTTGTTTTGGGAAGGAAAAATTGTGAAGGGCATTTGAACCCTACTCATTAAACTTTTCATTATTTACTAGAAAGTAACAAAAGAGTTCAATATGTACATAATAATATGGTGAAAATTTAAACCTCCAGACACAGAAGCTGTCTTTTTTTTTTTTTTTGTGAGGGGGATCGGCCCTAAGCTAACATATGCTGTCAATCTTCCTCTTTTTGCTTGAGGAAGACTGCTAACATCTGTGCCAATCTTTCCTCCATTTCATATGTGGGTCACTGCCACAGTATGGCTTGATGAGTGGTGTAGGTCTGTGCCTGGGATCTGAACCTGCGGACCTGGGCTGCTGAAGTGGAGCGTGCCGAACTTAACCACTGTGCCACCGGGCCGGCCCCACAGAAGGTGCCATTTACTGAGGGCATTTTATATGCAGGGCACTCTGTGTTACATATTCCATCCTATTTAAACTTCCCAATAACCTTTGCAGGGTGATTAGTATCTACACTTTACATAGGAAACTTATGGTTTAAGAAATTAAACAACTTGTTCTAAGTCACACATACAGAAAACAGATCTGCGAACAGGTTAATCTTGAGCACTGTTGCTTTTTCAGAAGAAAATGCATTTGAAAAGTGTACTTGATTACTGGAAAACAAAGCTCTGATATGGTCTCATTCATTCCATAAACATTTACTGAGTGTCTGTGATATAACACACACTGTTGGACGCTGGGGATTCCTAGATGAAAGCAGTCCTTGCTCACAGGTAGATTAGTAAACAATTAGGATAACATGATAAATGTTATAAATGCATACCTATGATTGCAGCTGCCTGGGTTGTTTTAATGAGGGGCAGAGTGCTGTCGTAAGCCTCTTTGGGAACATAGACTGAGCGGTCTCTGAATTTGTTTTTCTTCAAAATCTTGTGCAATTCACTCAGCACTCCCACCCACTTACTCTTCTCATTCTCACTATCTGCCAGCATCAGGATCGAACATGTGTTAGATGCTGAGAGCTGGGAAGCTGTGACCTAGAACAATTTAATCAATATTCATGATATTAGAAAACAGACACCATTTAAGCCAGTTTTATGCTTATACTAGTTTGCTTAGCACTATCCAATAAAAAGAGCCTTCATTAAATGACACCTTTAACAGAGTTCAGCTAGTCCTAATCAGAAGAATAACTAGTTTTAGCATTAGAATTCATGACAAAGCAAAGGTAGCACATACCATTCTAAATATGAGTATCATTTCTATTTTCTTTGCTATAAAGTACCACAATACTATCACTAAAAAAGTGCATTAAACATGCTCATATAACAGCAGCAACTGACATTTATTGAGTAATTACAGAGCAATGGGCACTGATCAAGGCACTTTACAAGTATTAACTCATTTACCCCTCTCAACATCTTCATGAGATAAGTATTGTCATTACATCCTGATTTTATGTACGAAAAAACTATGATGCAGAGAAATAAATTGCTCCAAGGGCACATGACTAGACTGGGATCCCATGTCCATGCTTGTTACTACACCATACTGATTTTCAACTTGTTTTAAAAAGTCAGAAATGCTCAGAAATACTTACATTCTCTGTTACTTCATAACAATAACTCACATTTTCTTTGAGAAGATCAGATCACTTGAGTTAGTATTTAAATGAAGGTTTATCATTTTACAAACAGCACTTACAATCAGAACAGATTTAAATTTTATATACATGGATCCCTTATTAAAGGTAATTTAAGTAGCAGTGACGATAAAATCCCACTATGTGAATCAGTTGTAGATAAGTGGGCCTCTGTAGGCTCCCTTGGTGGCTGGGGAGAACATAAATAGTCGTTGGTCCAGGAACTGAGAGACTAAGTATAGTCTTTGACCTTCCTTAGAAAAGAGATTCATAGACAAATATTAAGCATATGGGCATATGGGCAGTAGTCCTTTTTGGTTTTTTTTAAGCTCTATTGTCTTAATTCACCACTTCAAGCTTGCAGTGTGGCAGACAGTCTCCAAAGACGGCCACCAACACCTCCTCCCGTGGAATGCCACTCTTCTTATCAAGAAGTGGAGTCTATTGTTCTTCCTCTTCAATCCAGACTGACCTCGAAACTTCTTTCACCAACAGAATGCAGAAGGGTAAATTAGCCTGCTTTGGGCTTCGTCCTTAAAAGGCCTGGCAGCTTCGTTTGCTCTCTTGGAAGCCAGCCACAGAGAGCTCAGCCAGACTACTGGAGGATTAGAGACCACAGGGAGAGAGCTCACAGAGAGAACCGAGATCACCCAGCAGACAACCAGCACCAAGGCCCCAGATGGGAGAGTAGGCCGTTTGGGATATTCCAGCCCAAATGAGCTGAATGCAACCACGTGAGTGACCCAAGCCAACACCATAAGAACTGTGCAGCTGACCCACAGAATGGTGAGAAATAACAAATCACTGTCCATTTAAGCCACTGAGTTTTGGAGTAGTTATTACAAAGCAATAGAACTGAAACATACATTAATTTTTCATGTGAGATTTTTAAAAAAATGTGTCTTTTTTTAAAACGAGAGAAACCTCACACAGGCAATTTTCCATGTGGTAGTATTTATTTGAAAATTGAATTGTGACTCAAAAATATTATCCCAGAGGAAACCTATTTTAGAAACCATACAGTCATGCTTTCTATAAGTCTTTTCACTAATTAAATATTTACTTAGCACTAACTGTCTATACATTCAAGTATTTAATGATATGGAATATATAAAGGAATATAAGATTTGGTCCTATTCCTAGTAAGTTTATGACCTATATAGAGAGGAAAAACACACTCATCGAAGATAAATAATTCAGTGATCAAATTATAGCACGCATACTTACTCTAAATATACAAGGTATATCTTTTCGACTTGCATGAATAACATCAGAAGCCAACACTGAACTCACAGAAAATTCTTCATCCCTGAAGAAAAAGTGAAACATTATAAGTCAGTGTATGTGGGTATGTGTGTGTATCTAAATAACACATATGAAGCAATCCTCAAAACTTAATTGTACAAAATATTCTAATTGAATTTTTAAAAAAATTTGATTTCCTCCCCCATTGTAATTCACAGTGCCCTAAGTAATTTATCAAGAGTAACTTAACAGTTGCACATTACACAAAAGCTAGAAATAATTGCTGGCTTACCCAAAGTCAGAGGGCCGGTAAGTATACTTGTTCAACCCTGGAGGGTCTCCGAGTCTCCAGCAGACTGGACCCTCCTGCTTCCCATAATACATCTCAAGTGCCCTCCACACCACTCATCTGACATTTTACTGCTCCTTCAACACCTAGCACAGATTTCCTCCACCATGATGCATTCTTTGTGATTTCCTTAATTTGGTTATTGGTACCACCATTTTCTCGGTCTTGAAGACCCGACACCTTAGTCTTTGATTCTTCTCCCTATCTTTCTGTACTTAGTCCCTTAGCAGGCTCTGTCGGATTTTCCTTGCACCTAACCCTTCATAGTCCATATCTGTGGGGAAGATAATGTGTCTGAGATGCTGGAATGGAATGCCAGGGTGAGCCATAGCTGGAAATCCTAGTTTTGCAGGCTGGAGAAAGATCTGGACTGGAGATACATGTTTGGGAGTCATCAGTGCAGAGGCAATTGCTGAAGCTAGAGGAGTAAAAAAGATCACTCAAGGAGAATGACTGGAGTTACAAGAAGAGGTAACAGAGAGCACTCCAAGGCACAGGGGAAGAAAATGAGACCAGAAACATTCAAGAGATGTATTTACTAAAATGTTTACCAGTTCATTATACATTCCAAGAACTTGTCTGATTTTGAGTTGCTTTTTTCTTTGCAAGGGAAGATTTACCCTAAGCTAACATCTGTTGCCAAGCTTCCTCCATTTTTCTTCCTTCCTCCACTCAAAGCTCCAGTACCTATTTGTGTATAGTTGTAAGTTCTTCTAGTTCTCCTATGTGAACCGCAGCCACAGCATGGCTACTGACAGATGAGTGGTTCTGCGCCCAGGAACCGAACCCAGGCTGCTGAAGTGGAGCATGCGGAACTTGAACCACTAGGCCATCAGGGCTGCCTCGTGATTTTGCGATATTTATTTCCTTTCCTCACGCTGCAATTATACTCTAAGCCTTCAGGTGATGATATAAACACGTTAGGTCTCCACTACTCTGGCAACTTTAAATTGGTCTTTTGGATTCAAATATCAGCTTCTTTTCTGTGACCCCTAGCCCAACACACTCAACATACACACATCAATCTGTCATAACTACACCTTACTTCCTATTTTTAATTATGTTACTATAGCAATATTAGTAAATTAGAAAACTAACATGACATTAGATTTAAATAAAAATATGGCAATATAATTGGAAGAAAAATCAGACACTCTTTTATTCCTATGTTGCAAAGATACAAATATCTTCACCTTTGAAAGCTTACCTCATGTCAATCACTTGACTGACTACAACACTGGGCTGAGATGCTTTTCCTTCAGCAATGTCGTACAGAAAGAGCTTGAAGTCACAAACTACAGCCAATGCTCTTTGCCATCCTTTCTTCACTCCAGCTGGCTTAGGAATCTAAATGTTGTTTTAGATAGACAGACAAACAAACAAAACCAAGTCAAACCAAAATGTCAATCAGAGTCCCCTTAATTACATATGTAATTGCACAGTCAAAACCTAAAGATAATGTACAGTCTTATAACTCTGCCACTGTGGTGGGTAAAGTAGCAGATGGAACACATATATCAGTAATAACATGAGAAAATGTGTGAGAACACATTCTTCAAATATTGAATGACTTTTTATTCTGAAAAATTTTAAAATGGTACCATTTTAACTTTCACTAGTAATTCGTTAAAATAACTTTCATGGGGGCCGGCCCCGTGGCTTGGTGGTTAAGTGAGCGCGCTCCACTGCTGGCGACCCGGGTTCGGATCCCGGGCTCGCACCGGCGCGCTGCTTCTCCGGCCATGCTGAGGCCGCGTCCCACGTACAGCAACTAGAAGGATGTGCAGCTATGACACACAACTATCTACTGGGGCTTTGGGGGGAAAAATAAATAAATAAAATCTTTAAAATAACTTTCATGGCTTCCTTCCTTTCTAAGTAGCATAAAAGTCAAACTTGGTAGTGGGATGAAATGCAGCTTATACTTTAAATACTATTCAAGATATCAAGGCCAAGTGCCAAGACTCCTCTACGGAGATTTCAACATCTGCTCATTATAAGATAGGGACAGTACGAAAATTTTTGAGACATTCTGGAATTTATTTCCAAGTAAAGGCTAGGTTTTTGTTTTCAAATCATTACTCTGGATGAAATAAAATTATTAGATGAATTTTATTCACCTAATTTTCTGTCAAGGACTATGCTTGTAAGGTGACTGGACTTTTTAAATTCACTAATAAACCTTAAAGATTAATCTAAACCCAACCTACTCATACTTACCCTGACGTGACCTTCATATGCTGTTCCTATTCCTTTCTGTGGATCTATACCCAGGGGACCTTTTGTCTGTTCAGGAGGAACTGGGCACGTGGTCGGGGCTTTGTTTACACAAGTTATATGACATGAGAATCCACACACTTTTGGAGGAAAAAAAGAAACAATGTTCAATAAAAATTCATTTTTACAAAAAGAAAATTCACTGAGTGCTCATTACATGGTGCTATGTTAGATGAATGCTTATCTCTGATTTTATTTTAAACAACTGTTTTGTCATTTGGGGAGCTGATTCATTTGCTTACCAATAAAAATTTCAATGAGAAATAGTAAATTTTTTTATTATTGTAATATTATTGTTCTGTGTTAACATTAGTGATCAAAATGAAAAACAAATAGAGAGAAAAAAACATCTAACCTTGTGAATAAAACGGTTGATTTAAACTTTGAATTCCTAAAAGAGGAGTTTCTGGAGTTCTCTCTAACTCTTCATCTCACTGCAACTTGGTATCTGCTCTGCAATTTCTCTTGCAAGAGTCACTAATGGACATTAAATTACCTGACACCTTTGCAATATCTGGCAAACTTTGCCAATCCCTCTTTTTGAAAATGGAATTGTTCAATGATTACAAAGGTATAAATTAAGGGTAAATTTTAGAACTTATTGATATTATTATATATACTTAAACTACTACTAAGATAATAGTAATAGCTAACTTTATTGAGTGCTTTTCCTTTTCTATAACAATCTAAGAGAGGTACAATTATCCCACTTATATATGACATGCCCTGGGTCACAGAACTTATAAATGGCATTGCCGAAATTCAAACCCAGGCAGTTTGGCTCAGAGCCTGCACACCTAACTACTGACAATACTGCCATGATACCTCTATTTGATACTCACATGATGAACCTGAGATTCTAAGACAAAACGATAAATAAAAATAAACTCATAAGTTTCACTGAGACTTGGCTGAGTGAGAATTAAAGGTTAAAATATTTAAAACAAACCAGCTTCTTGGGAGGGATTTACAGACCAAGAATGTCTATTTAGACAATTCCTACACTAAGGGTGGATCCCGGAGAATATTTGGGAAAGAATAAGAGAGGAACTGAAGGGATATCACATGGGAATACATACACACGGGAAAATGGATTATATATCATTATACATGATGGATATTATGAAACCAAGAGGGGCAAGAAGGACTAGCATTGACTGTCAAAAGCTATCCCAACTTCTATAAGACATCTCATCCACTTGTAAGTGAAGGGCAGTGGAAGCAACAAAATAATTATCCTATACTGGATCTAATTTCAATCAACCAGGAAGAAATAAAAACCACAGGAATCTTTAGAGGTTGTAACCCCATCATCATAACATTTACGAATGCCTGGGCATCGTGCAATGTGTCCCTACAGCTTTACAGGGCAGAGTTCAAAGGGTATGAAGAAAAGATAGGCACAATTTCATGGCATGAGGCTCTAGAAAGGGAGAGAATCTGAGAAGATCTCAAAAATTCCTACTATGGAATTGCAAATGGTTCTGATGCATAAAAAATAATAAGAGGCCTAAAGCCAAGTAGCTGCCCAGGATTCTCTCTGATAAACAGATTTTAAAATGACACTTATAAGTACTGGCTAAGTTCCAAAATGAGAAAAGGCTTAAAACTTGTACAAAATCTCTCCTTCTTTGGCTGTAGTCACACCTTCCTGGTCAATGATACAGGCTATTCCTCCTCAGATTACTGTGCTCTCTCTACCTTTTCCTTGCCCTTAACTACGTTTCCAAGGCTCTGTCCTCATACTTATTCTCTTCTCACTCTACAGGTGCTTCCTGGATAACGTCATTCATATTCATGACTTCATACACTCATAACTCTCAAATCTCTACTTTTCAACTCTTAGCATTTCCTTTGGCTCTAAACTCATGCATTTAACAGACTAGTTAAGATAACACACTCTGGATCTTCCACTTTGGTTGTGAGAACTAACCCAACACAGAATGCATTGCCTTAAAATGCTATTAATTTCCGTCTTATTCAAAGTATTAAAATACAGGAGAACTACGAGTATATTCTACAAAGGGAACACATGCATCTGATGAGGACTGACCACCTTCCCTTTAAGTTCTCTTCCAATCCTAAGAGCTAAGAAATAGAAACTAAGAATTTGAATTAGCAATTCTTTTCCTACCTTTTTCATAATATATGTAAATTATACATGACGCATTGTTATACTAGCAAGTCAAATCTGATAAAAAAAAGTATATTTCTAAAATATTCACAAACAAATAATATATCCCATTATAATTTAAGTCATTTTCATTTCAGAAGCCTTAGGAAAAATAAAGCGATGCCCAAACAAATATACTTTGTTTTCTGTTCAAATGACCCCTGCTCTCTCATCTCTCAGAATGTGAGCTCCATGAGGGCAGGCTCTTTGTCCTTCCCCACCCACAACTGTACCCCAGCGCCCAGCAGCACAGGGCAGGCATGAACGGTGATGGATGAATAATGAGTGGGTAGGGAAAGACCTCTTCTATTAATGCTAGGAATAAAATATCTTTTGAGGCAGAGTGGCAGACACTTCAAATATCTGAAAAGATACTGCATTGCCTACTTTTCAATAATAATTTCTCTAATAAATTAAGGTTAAAATTAAATGAATAGATTCAAGGGTAACTTTCATGTCTTCTGTCACATAGGTTAATGGTTTTTTTGGGACCACAAATTCACCGGAATGATAAAACAAAGATGAATGAATGAAACATATTTAAATATATCTCCCCTGAAAAATGCTTCTAGGGACCATCTGTCTAGTTTCTCCAATATTCAATAGACTTTAGCAAGGTGCTAAGTTTATTGTTTCTATTCCTGTTATCCAAAGAAAAACAAATGATTGAACTAAACATTTATATACCTTTTAAAGACAATACAGTTATTTGACTACAATGTAGATGGTAAATGCTAGGACTCTAAAGTCACATTTTCTTACCATTTGTTCTTACCTTCACAGGAACAGCCCTGTCTTATCAAACCCACCATCAGAGAGGTACATTGATGACACTTGGTAGGAGTAGTAAAAGATTTGACAAAAAACTGATGAGTCTTGCGCTGCAAAACAAATCGATGAAAAACATACACGTCGATTATTTAAAGGATTTCCATAACGTGAGTCTCTGCGTCCCACACGAGCTACTAGAATGTTTTCTAAACAGGAGTAGAATGAATTCATTTCTCACCACATCCTCCTATAACGTATGCTCTTTAAATATTTTTATTAGGCAATGTAGAGCTGGATTATGCTAAAAATAATATAAAAAATCAAATAACCAATTGCTCTTGAATGCCATTCGAAAAGTGTATAAAAAACTGTAGCTTTTTTTGGCTCACAAATTTTGACATCAGGATTTTTATAAATTCTTCAAATTACTGTTTAGCAAAGAGTGAAATGAAATTCTGCATATTTATACGCATACACAAATATAGAAATTTAATATGCTTTTATACCTTCTCAGGAATAACAAAGAGTAACTTCAAATTTTTGTCCCTACTGTAAGTCATGCATTTGATTTTCTGGGACCAAGAACAAATAACATACTTAACAAATCTGTTTCCTGCCAGGGAAGCAGGCAGTATTCCACCTGAGCAGACAAAAATACGCACATATTACTCCAGAGACAGATGGCAGTCTGAAATTGCTTACTGAAAACCAAGTAAGGTTCTCTTAAGTCTTATCTGATCTATATGGTGGGAAGCCAAGGCAGACTTCAGCTCTCTGGAATACTTCTTTTCTCTCCAAATTAACTCTTAGCATGTTTTAATAATAAATAAACTATAATAACCCTTCTTCCACTCTGCTGTGTGAACTTAGGAGCAAATTACTTAATTTCTCTGTCTCTCACTTTCCTCATTCTATAAAATAGGATCAATAATAGTATCTACTTCATGTGATGGTTAAAGGAGCATTAATACAAACAAAGCCTTTTGAACAGTACCAGCACACAGGAAGCATTCAAAACATATTTATTTCTGAAAACAAATTTGGCTAATTATTTCTTTTATATGTGTGATAGATTTATAAACTGCTAAGACCTTTTCTATATTCTAATAATACGTGTATACTGATGAAAAACAGTGAAGTAGTAGTATCTAATTCAGGTGAGACTAACATATTAACAAAAAACAGAAGAGAATATTCACAGCTTTAAAATTAAGTTAAAAATAAATTCTGCTCTTCTTCAACTGGGATATGTGATTTACACACCCCAAAAGAAATTTTAAAAAAATCAAGAGGAAAACGGTAGATCACCTTTTTCTATAGAATGACCTGACTATCAGAGCACTGGGGTCCTGGAAGGGAGTGAGACTCAAATTGAGAGCAGTCATGAGCTCTCGGCTCAACCTCAAACCATTCTATCGTAGAAAGTTCCTCAAGACCCTTGGTCAGTTTCAAAGCAGCACTGAGATTTGACTCTATTCTAAGTAGCACACAGACCACCTTAATACCAACTCTGTAATGGCTCCTGTGTGGACCGAGCACCAAGCAAGGTGTGGACATCGTGCCAGTACCTCACATACCTCATCTCATTTCATGGAGACAATGCCCCTGGAAAGATAGATGTTATTTCCTTACACAGATGAAGGAAATGAAACTCAGAGAGATGAAATAAGTTACTCATGCATAGACAGTTAACAGTAGAGTTAAAATTCGAGCCCAGATCTGTCTGACTCTGCCATCTCTCAAAGTTTGATAATTTAAAAACACGGAGAATATGCTCCTCAAAAGAACCAAGGACTACACAGACATAGTTAGGTCAAGACTAGGGGCCTCCATGCCTGATAAAAATACAGGTATCTAATTTGGTAACATCCTATAAGATTTTGCTCAACATTTCTCCTGTAGACTAATTTTTACTCTTTGAGGAACTATCAAGAGTACATTTTCTACTGCTAACTTTTTCAATTGTTCAAAATACATTAATGCAAAGGATGCAAAGTTAGTAGAGGATTTTATTACAATAAAAGAAGAATTAATCAATTGCTCAAGGTAAGTAACTTCATTCTTTTGTTCTTCTTCTAAAGGATAACAAGACATGTCTGAAATAAGAGCAATAAAATGACTGTGGCCATGACAAATTTAATAGTAATTCTTCATAAGACCCATGAAATTGCTTACAAAACATATTTGGTACACACTTCTTATTCCCAGAGATATACTCAGGATATCATAATTTTAACTGAGTCTGCAATAGTAGGAAAGAAAAAACAATGTTGTCGCAGAGCACTAGTTTTAAGTGACCAACCACCCAACTGGTAGGTGCAATCCAACTGGTTAAATTGTGGGAGGGGGCTTGTTTAAGGGGTCCACGTTTCACTAATCTCAACTAAGGATAGTATAGCCTATAATTAAAGATTATAATTCTGATGGCATCAAAGATCTCTTGAATTCAATTCTAGGGTCTAGATTACTTGACTTCTGATCTAAGATCCCCTTTCTTGCCCCCTGCTCAATATTTGATTTCTAATACTTCCCTAGGGGATAGCTAGAGGAGGAGAAAAAAATGGAAAAAAAAAAAAAGTCTAGTAAAGGAGACATTAGACCTAAAGCATGAACCCAAATTAGAGTTGTAGATTATGTGATAATTTGGAGTAAACTGAGAATTAACTATAGCCTTGAAATCTAAAGAGGTAGGTAGAAGAGTTCTTTTCTATTCCAATTTTGTCTGTGTGGTGGACTTCAAGCTACTCAATGGAGAAGATAAAATATTTTTAATAGAAGATTCGAGAACAAAGTAGAACCTATTATGACCCTTGGTGAAAGCTTAAATATCAGTTGTAGATAATCAGAATTTTACCACTAAGAAATGACAAGTAAAGGAGTCTTTACCTCATACAAACCTTTCTTTTTAAAAAAATTTTTTTTAAAAATACTTTTTCTTCCATTTTAAACACTTATTATTTTGACATAATTGTAGACTCATTCTTTCGTCTTTTAAAAAACATTAAGTAAATTTTATTTTATTTTTTGGGGAGGAACATTTGGTGCACAAAATTGAGTTAATATTCAGTCTATGAAATATTATCACCAGAGCTTGGTAGAGGCCCCACTGTAGTTTTATTTTGCCTTATTATTTTTTCATTCATCCTTGACGATCCAATGATGGTCCCCATCCTTCCCTATGAGATCTGGCACCCAATCTAACGTGATTTATACAGATCCCTGAATATGTATGTACATATACTTGTAAATCAGATAGGTTGAGTGTGCGTTTCTAATTCACATAAACATGATTCTGTTACACATCAGCCATATTTTACCTATCTTTCCCCTATTCCCAACTCCCTGCTACCATATGCAGCAATTGGCATCTTCGTCATGTTACCTAACGGAGATGCATAAAACCTTTTCTGAAGGAACGAGATTGCTGGGTCATGTGGTATACGTCCATGCCATACTGCCTGGCTGCTCTCCAGAATGGCGGTACCTATTTATACTTCTACTCGTTGCGTGTGAAGTGACTGTTTCTTCACCTCTTTGATGTTACTTTACTTAATTTTTTGCAATCTGGTGAGTATAAACTGATAATTTTTAAATCATTATTTTAATTTTTAATTTCTCCAATTATTGAGGCTGGACATTTCTTCATATGTTTGTTGAACATTAGGATTTCTTTTTCTGGGAGTTACTTATTCATATCACTTGCCAATTTTTCAACTAGATTTCTAATTCTTTTTCGTGTGGAGTTGCATGAGTTTCTTATGTATTCTAGAAATTAATCCCTAATGGTGTTAAACATTGCAAAATATCCTCTCCTGGACTGACATCACCTATTAACCACCTATTAACAATGCTTCTATTGTACAAACTTCTTTAATTTTGATGTAGTAAAGTTCATCATCAGTATTTTCACCTTATATTTATGATTTTATCATCATTGCCCAGTCACAAAAAAATTCTCCTACATTTTCTCCTATGTATATGTTTTAATTTTTTAAATCAAATTAATACATGTACATAGTTTAAAGAGTAAAATAGTATCACAATGCTTAACAACAAAAACAGAAATACTCCTTTGCCGTAAGTCGTCCTTCCTAGAGGCAATTCCTTTGAACTCTTTTAGCTATTCACTTCCTTTTGTAATATATCTCCATATTTCTGGCAAAAAAATAAGCCTACACTGCTATTTCTTGATTTGAGACATTACCTATTGACCTCCTATTATGGCAAAGAAGGATTTAGCATTGTTATACAACCTACTCCCTTCATTCTCCCAATATTGTTATGGCACAGTTTTGGGTTAAATTTTACAGTTAATGTTTGTTTATTATGTCCTTGGAGTTATTATTCAACAAATCAAGAAGTATAGTTATAGTTTTCTTGTAATCTTTTGATTTTTCTGAAATTAATAATACTCTCCCTTTTTTAAACTTAATTTTCTATGTCTTTACATTAATTATCCCCACACTTTCCAAAGGAACTGCAAAATCCCCTGGAATCTATTGACCACATGGTCAAACACATCAGGAAGGAAGTCACCAAGAAAAAGTCTATCCCTTTTTTATTGACCTGAAGACATCTCTGTTGAAGCCCTCTGTTTTCCTGCTCCATTTCTGGCTACCTGCTCCACAGTCTTCCTCTTAACCAAGCTGTGTAAGATTCACTGTTCCATGGATCCCATGCTTTTCTCTTTCTTGATCTCCTTCCTCGTCTTGGTAGAATTCATTTTTCAGTAGTTTGCTTAGAAAGCAGAACATGGATACATTTTGGGGGCATCTTGAATTTCTGAAAATACTATTATTTTCCCCTCAAATTTGATTGAATTTTTGAAAGGGAATCAAAAATTCTAACTTGAAACCATTTTACCTTATAACTGTTTTTTTCATTTTGCTTTTGACAAGTATGATGCCATTTTGATTCCTGATCATTTGAATGTGATCTGTTTTATCTCCTTGGTGCTTTGAAAAAGTTCTCTATATTCTTATATCTTGAAAAACCACACAATGACGTGACTGGGAAGAGGTATTTGTTATCCACTGTGTTGGGAATTGGTGGGACTTTTCAATCTGGAAACACGTTCTTCAGTTATGGAGAATGTCTATGTTATTTTCCT